ATACCAACCACACTTTGTCCAAGGACTACGGTGTCTTGATTGAAGAAGAAGGTGTTGCCTTGAGAGGTATTTTCTTGATTGATCCAAAGGGTACCTTGAGACAAATCACCATCAATGACTTGCCAGTCGGTAGATCTGTTGACGAAACCTTGAGATTGTTGGAAGCTTTCCAATTCACTGACAAATACGGTGAAGTTTGTCCAGCTAACTGGCAACCAGGTGCTGAAACTATCAAACCAACCCCAGAAGCTTCTAAGGAATACTTCAACAAGGTCAACAAATAAATAAGCTAGCTTGTTTTTGTTAATGTTATAGATAGTAAGGCTATGTATAGTTGATTTATTTGATATAAATGTATGTATTTAAGTTATTTAAAAATTGAATATTCACTCAATTGACTGTGGTTCGTATATCCCCCTATTTTGTTCGTTCCAAAGGAAGTGGTGTAAAACTGCTCATCTTCTGTGGGGGAGGATAGCATCGGCAACGAGACCAAACAAAGAACATTGAAAAAAAAGAAAAAAGAAATCTGTACCACACAATTCCTTTCTTTCATGACTTGATTCATCAATCCAATTTTACGATGACTACAACAGAGATATTCTTTTACAAGTTCTTGGTGACAAAACAAGTGTTTTTCAAATCAAAATACACATATGCATTAGTCAATCTAAAACCTTTAGTTCCGGGACACGTTTTAGTGGTTCCGTTACGTACAAATATTTTAAGATTTGCTGATTTATCTTCAGAAGAATCCATTGATTATATGAATACACTTCAGTTGATTCACAAGTTTATACAACATATATATAAAGCTGATGCATTGAATATAGCTATTCAAGATGGACCTGAATCCGGACAATCTGTACCACATTTGCATACCCATATTATACCAAGATACAAAACAGACGGATATGGAGATTCTATTTATACAAAGTTGGAAGTGGAAGATTTGGAAACGCAATATGAAGAGTTTTTCGCTAGGAAAAATTCATACAGAGAAGCATATGAAGATAAAGTAGATAAAGAATTAGCTAAAAGTGATTCAGATAGAGTTCCTCGAGATGAAGCCACCATGGCTAAAGAAGCCAATTGGTTAGCTCAAGAATTGGAAAAGTTTAAAGGAAATTAATTCATTAATAGATTTATCATTGGTTGTATTATTAAATAAATGTCTATTTCACAATATTTCCATCTATTAAACCCCAGTCTATTTTATCCTTTTGGTGTTTCTCCAAAAATTCATTACATTGAAGGAAGACTTTCAGGTTCAAAAAAGAATACATAATATTCTAGTAATAGCAATGTATATAATTCTAGAACTACTACTCTGTATCATTGTATAGCTCACTGGTGATGAATCAGTGGAGTTCAAATGGTAATTATATCTACGCATAAAAATTCAAAGAACAACAAAAAAAAAAAAGATATCCACTTGTGAATTACCAACTTTTATCCAAAGTAAACAATAATATGGAAGCACTAGATGAAATCCAATGGAAATCCCCTGAATTTATTCAAGAAAGAGGTCTAAATACAAATAATGTTCTTGAATATTTTTCATTATCCCCATTTTATGATCGTACTTCAAATAATCAAGTTCTTATGATGCAATTTCAATATCAACAAATTCAAATCCCAATGGGTATGACATTTCATCAATATTTCCAAACTAGATTAAGTGAAATGACAGGAGTAGAATTCATTATTGCATATACTAAAGAACCTGATTTTTGGATTGTTCGTAAACAAAAGAGACTCGATCCAAATAATACCATTACATTACAAGATTATTATATAATTGGAGCAAATGTTTATCAAGCTCCAAAAATATATGATGTTTTATCATCAAGATTATTAGCAAGTATATTATCATTAAAGAATTCTACAGATTTGTTGAATGAAATGACAAGTTATCATATTTCAGATGGTGGTCATTCTTATAATAATTCAATTCATGATAAAATGGCATCTAAATCACAACAATCATTTGCCGTGTCAAAATCCGCTTCAAACAATACAGGAATTAATACTATGACTCCAATTACATTAACTACACCACTGGGTGCTACAGTTCCAAGTACTGTTTCTAATAATAATAACGGTGTACTGAGTAATATTGAAATAACTAGTGGAGCATTTGACTCATTGTTGAATGATGTGGTTAATAATGATGAACAAGTATATATAGATGAAATACCACTATATGGGAAAGGCAGTACAATTGAATCGTTAGGATTAAAGGTAAATACAGAAAACTAAATATTGGTTAGTTTCGAAGAAAAAGTACAATATACACAAGATATTATTACTTAACTAAAGTTCATCTTTAGATGGAACTTCTTCACCTTCTTCGATTAATTCACCAGAGGCAACAATTTTAATTTCCTTAACTGGACTATCACCTCTACCAGTCTTGACACTTTCAATATAATCAACAACATCTTTACCATCTAAAACTTCACCAAAGACAACATGAGCACCATCTAACCATTTAGTTAAAGCAGTAGTAATGAAAAATTGACTACCATTGGTGTTTTTACCAGCATTAGCCATACTCAATCTATATTTTCTATCATGTTTCAAATCAAAGTTTTCATCAGCAAATTTACCATTATTATGAGTTGGAGAATATCCACCATAACCTTTATTATATTCAAAATCACCAGATTGAATCATGAAATTTTTAATAACACGATGGAAAATAGTATCTTTATAACTTGGACCCATTTCACCAGTACACAAGACACGGAAATTTTCAACAGTTTTTGGAACAACAGTACCAAATAAACCAATAGTTATACGACCAAGAGATTTACCATCTTCTTCAATATCCAAATAAACTTTATTGGTGATTGGTGGGTTTTCTGGTAATTCAGTAGCAGCCAAAACAGATTGGGAAAAGAAAGCAAATAAAAGTGAAACAATTAAAGCAATTGATGTTAATAACTTCATCATTGATTTATGGAATATGGATCTTATTAAAGAGAAAGAAAAGTGAAATTTATTCAATTGGGAGATTTTTTTTTATATGATTTGTCCTTTCAACGATCAAACAGAGAGAGAGCGAGAGAGAGAGAAAGCGCAAGGCAAGGCAAGTTCCTGAAAAAAAGATTGAATGGTTTGTACGACAGAGGAAGCTACGTCGACCTTCGCGCGATGACACGGCCCAAAAACTAGACTAAAGTATGATTAACCATACTAATAGGTGATTAATAATACTATTAATTGATTTTATTACAATTATGTATACATTATTTAATAACTCTTCTTCTTTTTAACTCTATCCCAAACAGTACCTGCTTTTCTCTTTCTACTTGTTCCTTCTTTAGTCACATCTTTATTATTAAACATTGACCAATCTTCACCAGCAAATTGATTACGTAAATCTCTTTGTTTCTCTTTAAAACTCTTTTTAGTTTGATTAGTTGGTAATCTAACAAAATTATTTTCTTCATAATCTTGAATTTCCTTTTCTTTTCTACGATCATGAGCTGTTTTAACACCTCCTCTACCATGATCAATAATAGTTGAACCAATTGAAGCATCAACACTTGGCATATCACTTTGTTCTTGTAAATATTCTTCCATACTTTGTACTTTACGATTCTTACCATTATTAGATTTAGCATCAATATCTTTTTGTGAAATTGCTGTTGGTGGAGCCATAGCAGAAATCTTTGGTGGTTTATATTTCTCATTAGATTCTTCAGTTGTTGTTGATGATGATGATGATTTCTTAGATTTAGTTGAAGTTGGTGCTAATTTAGCTAATGCTGATGCATCTGGTCTATATTGTAAATTATCATCTTCATCATCATCTTCGGATTCTTCTTCATCTTCATCATCATCTTCACCTTCACCTTCACTTTCTTTATCTTCATTTAGTTTTTGTTCGGCTTTTAATTCATCTTGTTCCATTCTACCATATGCTCTTACCATTTTATCTAATTGATAATTAATCTTCTTTTCTAATGGTTTAACTCCTTTTTCTAAAGTAACTCTTTGTACAATAGATCTTTTAACAACTTCTAATTTCTTTTCTTCAACATCAACATCATTATTTGATTCCAATCTTTCAAGTTGAGATAATACAATCAAGATTAAATTATTAATATATGAAACTAAACTTTCATTTTTTAATGACAATAATGAAACACCTTCTAATTTAGATGTATGTGATGATTTTTTAATTAAATTTTCAACTAATTCAGGATGACTAGATGCAGATTCTTGAATATATGAAACTAATTCATCAACAGATGATTTAGTTGACTTAGTTGATGTTATTATATCTTTCAATAAGGTGTCTATATTTGACATAGTTTGTGGTATTAATGATGATACTAGTTATTGATTTTGACAGTCTGATTAGAGTAATTTTTTTTTTTTTTGAAAGTTAATCTCATCGAAAAAAACTGAAAATTTCACCACTTACAAACCCAGACAAAAAAAGAATATCAAATATCAAATATCAAAAATCAAAAATCCAATATAAAAAATGAAGTTTATTACTATTATTAAAAAAATCAAAATATATAAAAACTATACACATATGCCTTTTCTATATGATTACCCCATAAAACAAAAACTATTTAACTAATAATACATTATAAGAAAAAGCAAACAACAAAAAAATAAAATAATAAACAACTTTATTCCTTCCAAATCTTTCATTTCTTTAATTTTTTTTTTATTTTTTTTTTTTTTAAATTATTATTTTAATATGCCAAAACGAAGAAGGAATTTATTTTATTTACCACCATGAATTAGAACCGGTTTGATTACCGTAGCTTGAAGAAGAACGTTGACCACCGTAGTTAGAACCACCAGACTGTTGGGAATAAGATGAGTTACCCCAGTTGTTATTACCAGCGGCATTAGAGTTACCACCCCATCCACCGTTGGAATTACCCCAGCCAGAATTGTAACCACCAGAGTTACCACCTCTTCTGACATCTCTGAAGCCACCACGAGAACCACGGCTTCCACCTCTACTCATCTTACCAAAAGCAGCTTCTCTGCTAACTTTAGTAAGGAAATCTGGAATAGGTTGATTAGCTTCACTTAAGATTTCAATTAAACCTTTAACGACATTTTTGTTACCACGGTTGAAGAAACTTGTAGCAATACCAACGTTACCAGCACGACCAGTACGCCCAATTCTATGAACATAGTCGTCGATATCAGAAGGTAAATCAAAGTTGATAACGTGACCAACATTTGGAATATCTAAACCTCTAGCAGCGACGGCAGTAGCAACCAAGATTGGTGCAGCACCATTCTTGAATGCAGCAAGAGCTTTTTCTCTTTCATATTGGGAACGATCCCCATGAATAGCAGTAGCTGGGAATCCTTGGTCGTAAAGGAAATCAGCAAGTTGATCAGCCATTCTCTTGGTTTCAGTGAAAACAATAGTCAAACCATTTTCGTTGGCTGCTAACAAATCCAAAATAACGGATTTCTTGTCTTCATCTTCAACATACAAGATCTTTTGGGTAATGTTTTCAGAAGTAGAACCAACTCTACCAACAGAAAGGAAAACATAATCCTTCAAGAAATCTCTAGCAAGCATTTGAATATCTCTTGGGAAAGTAGCAGAGAACATCAAAGTTTGTCTGTCGGTGACTTCTGGCATATCACATTCTTCAACAATGTGTCTAATTTGTGGTTCGAAACCCATATCTAACATTCTATCGGCTTCATCTAAAACCAAGTACTTGATATTGGCCAAGGAAACTTTACCTCTTTCTAACAAATCCTTCAAACGACCTGGGGTGGCAACCAACAAGTCACAACCTCTGTCCAAGTTTCTCATTTGTTGACCAATATCAGCACCACCATAAACAACACATGGACGAACCCATGATCTGTAACTGAATTTCTTGGATTCTTCATAAATTTGGGAAACCAATTCTCTGGTTGGGGCCATAACAAGAATAGTTGGATAAACTTTATGGGAAGAAAAAGCACCAGTAGTTTCAGGAACTGGAGCTGGACCATTCAAGTAAGATTCAGACAAAACTGGGAAAAGGAAACCACCAGTTTTACCAGAACCAGTTTGAGCACAAGCCATCAAATCTCTTCCAGCAGCAACAATAGGAACAGAATACTTTTGAACTGGAGTTGGTTTAGTGAATCTGGATAAAGTAATGTTTTCAACCAATAATTCATCTAATGGAGGAGCAGTGAAAGCAGTGATTGGTTCTGGAACATCGTCACCACTGGCTTCAACTGGGATATCATCATAGTTATCAAAATTAATACCAGAAGATTGGAAAGTTGAATCATCAGCAGTACCAAACAATTCCAATTCCAATTTTTCATTTCTTGCGGCTGGTTCGTGTTTACCTTCAACCCATCTACCAACACCTGGAGTTGGTCTTTGGTATCTACCGCCAGCATTATTGTAGCCACCTCTACCGCCTCTGCCACCATAGTTGCCGCCTCTGTTGTTTTGGTAACCACCTCTGTTGTAGTTGTTATAACCACCGTTGTTATAGCCACCGTTATTGTAACCACCGTTGTTGTAGCCACCGTTGTTGTTATAACCTCCAGTACGACGAGAACCTCCAAATGGAATATCAGATGCATCTGATTGTTGTTGTTGAGGTCTGTTTCTTAAATGTGGTGGGACATATTGTCTACGACCAGTTTGGTTTTGGTTTTGGTTTTGATTTTGATTTTGGTTGTTATTAGTGTTAGCAGCATCGTTAACACTCAAATCATTCATTTGTTTAGTGATTTCAGACATAATTTAGTATATTGAATACAAAAATTAACTAAATAAAAAGGTTGATTATATGAAAATATATTTATATAAGAAAAAATTTTTTTTTTTTTTTTTTGCACAAGGTCTTCTTCTTCTTCTTCCTTGATTTCCTTTTTTTAAATATAAAAATTTTCTTTCTTTTTTTCTCTCGTTTCTTTTCTTACTATGACAATTAGAAAAAAGAAAGAAAAAAAAGACAAAAGCGTGGCTTATGTGCAGGACTGCATGAAAATTAAAACAAACAAACTACAAAAAAAGAAAAGAGAAAAGAAATCATATGCGCACTACTTTACACTACCACTTACGTCGTCACCCGTCTTGCTTCTTCGTACTAAACTAGTTTTGCTCCCCCCACCATTACTACCACCACCACCACCACGGTTGGTTGGTTGGTAATAGTACACTAGAATTAGAATTGCAGTTTTGTTACTGACACCAATTATTTTTGTATTCGCCATCACAGCATGATCTTAAAATGTATTATTACTCATGATTTTGAACCATTGCTCGTATCATAAAAATAAAACTCTTATATTCATGTAGGTACCAATATGCTAATAATAATAATAATAATAATAATAAAAAGACACCTCTTTAAATAAATACGTAATCTGCATAATAATCAAATCAGCTCTTACCTCCACTTAAATGCACTCTAGCATTAGGATGAGCAAAACAACATCTTTCATCAACATTGTTAAGATAAGACATGGATTGTGGGGTTTCTGCCCCATTTGTAGAAAGATAATGAATATCATCACTAGATGGAGTTGAACTATATGAAGAACGTTCTGTGTCTGTGAAATTAATATCAAATTCATCATCTTCTTCATCATCTTCAGTAATGTCCGGTTCACTTTCTTCATCCTGTTCACTTGAAATATGCAAGTTATCCATATCCCCATCAATATCTTTAGTTTGATTTCCTAATGGTTTCTGTTGTTCTCTGACATTCCAGTGCAAGTTTCTACTAACAGAGTCAAAATATTCAGTTGGTGATGCTATCACTGTTGGGAATGGGAATGATGAAGCTTGAATGGTGACATAATCACCTTTTTTCAACTCAGTTCTATCTTTACCATCAAATGAACACCAAGCAGTTGCTCTACTACCATCTGGAACTTTGACTTTTAAAAACATACCATCAGGTAACAAAACTGGTCTAAATGATAAAGTATGTGGACAAATTGGAGTAACACTGATAGCACTAACACCTGGATGAACCAATGAACCACCAGCTGATAATGAATAAGCAGTTGAACCAGTAGGAGTAGCAATAATTAACCCATCAGCTTGAGCAACAGTCAACAAAGAACCATCACCATACAATTCTAATTGAGTAACATAAGGAGAAGGACCTCTATCGACAACCAACTCATTCAATGTTTGATATTGCCCAATTAATTTGCCATCACTGGAATGAACTCTACAAGTGAAACGCATACGAAGATTTGCTTTGACACCTGATTCAATACAACGATTCAAAATACGTTTGAAATCTTGGAATTGGAAATTTGTCAAAAAACCAAGAGACCCAAGACTAAATGGTAAAACTGGAGGAGCAATATGTTGGAATAATGTAGAAGCATACAAAACAGTACCATCACCACCTAATGTAACAACCAAATCAAATAATTCAGGTTGTTTTTTAACCAATCTTTTAGTCCAAAATTTTAATGAGTTACATGGTGCAACACCAAATCTTTTTGATTGTTGCAACTTTGAATCAACAAAGACAACAATATGTGGATGACTTTCCAAAAGCCATTCAACTAATTGTTTGGTTAATGTGATTAAACTATTATCTCTTGCTTTAGTAATAACCATGATTGCTTTGACATCAAGTTGAATAGTAGCTCTAGCTAAGTTTTTGGCAAGTAATCTAACACCATTAGCTGTTTCTGCCAATTCAGTATGTGATTTAATAGAACGAGGTGTATTCCCACCCAGAGCAGCTTTAACATCATCACAAATCAACTTGGAATGGATTTTTGGAGAGTGGGGGACAAAATTATTCTTGCGTTGAAAAGAAGATGAAGTTGTAAGTTCAGATAATGATGAAGTTGATGAATTTGTAGTAGTACTAGAACCAGTAGTAAACTGTGCTCTATGATAATTACTATTACTACTACTACTATTATTGTTGTTGTTGTTATTCATTGCTGTGGAGTATTCAATAGCTTGTTGTAAAAGAAACCGTAGGTCGGAGATTTCAATTTTTTTTTCTTCAGTTGCATACATTTTTCTTTTAAAAAAAATTTATTTAGGTTTGGTGGTGGTGACTTTAAATATTAATAATAATGATAATAATTATGAGGGACTTGGTCGTGTCGTGTTGAATTGAAAGAAAGGGGGAAGGAGCGGGAGTCAGTGTCGTACGAAAAGACAAAAAAAAACAGCAAAAAAAAGAAAACAGACGAATTGAAGTCAGGCGAGTAATATCGTGGGGCGGTGGAGCAATAAGATCAATGGAACAAGAAAGGAAGAACAAGGTGGGCCACCAACAGTTAAGATCAACAAAAATTAAGTAAGAAGAATTTATTTTTTTGTAACGTATTCCCGGGTCTTTGAAAGTATGCACAGAAACAAACTTAGAAGAATTTGGTAGGCGTGAAATTTTCTTTTTGGTTGCTTTAATGTAATGTATAATTAGTAAAATTTAAGTAAGAAATTAATATTAAAGTGAACATGACTCTTTCTCGAAGAATAGAACAAGGAAGGAAAAGAAAAAGAAGGAGACAACATAGAAGATAAATTACAAACGAAGGGGAGAGAGACAGATACAGAGAGATATTTAGTTTATTTTATAGTCCATGCCGTTTAGCTCAAAGGAAGGAAGTGGGCCATAAGCATAGGAACGATTGGAAAATTATTTTAACAAATCACGTTTGATGAGGCACAACGAAAAACGATAACCGATCTAAGAATTTTAATCGTGGTGTAAAATGTCGGACCCGGTTACTCAAAAAAAGCAAACTAAAACTAAATAACGCCTCAAAACGTTAATTCCTGCAGGAAATAGCAAACTCAATTCCCTGTCATCGGAGTTTCTCCTGTTAATGGACAATAGATAATAGTATCGAGTGATTTACAATGTGTTCTTCATGTAACGAGAATGTAGATTGTAAGAAGATCTTACAAATTAAAGTTATTTTAAATCACGAGCAAATCAATATCTAAAAATTGATCTATTTATAATAAATATATACCGTGTAATTCTTCATATTGTTCTAAAATCATTGAAGATCTTTGTTGTCTATTCCTTTTGTTTTACTTCATCAAGTCTACATTTCCAATTAGCATTGGCTTTGTCCAATAATGGCAATGAAGCACCTAAACACCAACCTAATTCATTGTTGTCAATTGTTTTAGCGGTTTTTAATTCTCTACTCAATGGAATGTCATAACCAGTGTGCAACATAGCGGTGATGAATGACAAATCCAAACACCATTGTGGCTCTTCACTCAAATTCTTGACATGATCATCCAACAAGACATCTTTCCATAAAGTTTCACCTTGACAGACCAATTTACTCAAATCCTTCAATTCTTCAACACTGAAAGAGGATGGCATACCAACAGGATTAGTACGGTCGTAGAAGTAGGAAAAGACGTACATATCAGAATTCTTGTTGAAAGTACGAGTCAATGATGGTTGATGGACACCGTTGAATGAACATGGTTTTGTGGTACATTCTGCATCTTTGTTCAAGACTTGTTCAGCAAGGAATCTACATTGAGATCCTCCTGCAATTGTAGCATCTTTAGATGATGGACCTTTCATGTTGACAATGTAAACTTCATCGTCACCAAATTCAACTGCAACATCATTAGCAACAACACCTGGTGGAATACATGGATTGCTGACGGAAACTTCACCTTTACCTTTGGAATCCTTAGCTTCTTTCTTGGTATATTTCTTCAAGTCCAATTCAGACAATTTGTTCTTTAAAACCAATTGGTTAATCTTGTTTCTACCTTGCATTAATCCATATCCCAAATGACTGAATTGGTACAAAGTGTATTCATTTTCACCAAAAGTGAATTGATATTTGGTTTCTCCATCAACTGGAACTTCATCAACTTTGTAGTCTGGCTCAAATACAATTTGAGTAGAACCACCACCTAAGTCAAAGACAGCAGCAGTTGGTAATTTGTCTTTACCACCAATATTACCTAACAAGTAATTTGCAGTGACCCAAGCGTAAACACCTTCATCCTTACCATCCATAATGGAAATACCATCACCTTCAACAACCGCGAATGGATAGTCCTTTTCTAAATGAGATCTGACTTCGGCCAAGATGTTTTTGGATTTTTCTTCACCCAACAATCTCAAACCAGCAGTTGCTTTAACAGCCACAGGTGTACATTTTTGTTTATCCGCCGGAACTTTCTCAAGAGCAACTTTTAATAATGGATCCAAGGATTTAGCGGCACCAACGGTATCAGTATCAAAAGAACTCAAACCTGGTTTCAACATTTCAAAAGTTTCACTCAATAATGCTGGTGGTTGAACACAGGTGTTAAATTCATAGACATGGACTCTTGAACCAGTTGATCCAGCATCAATCATAACAACATATTCAACTTTATTACATTTTTCGTTAGAAGCAGGGACTTTTTCTGGAGTACTCATTTGAGTATCTTCTTTTTCACCTTCTTTTGGGTTAGCAATTTCTGCATTTGACTTAGAAGAATCTAATTTTTCAGCATTGATCTTATTGTTCTTTGGTGTACTGTCAATTTCGTATGGTGGTTTAGTACCTTGATGGGAAGTACCTTGTAAAGTGTTCTTAGAATCATCGTGTTCTTCATCATCTTGTTGTTGCTTTTGTTGTTGTTCTGGAGGATTTTGAATAGGTGGTGGGTTGGAAGCTGGTTTGGAAAGTTGACTTGCAGCAGTGTGATGAGTTAACGAGTGTTGGGAACTTGCAAAGAATGCAAATATACCGAGCAATGCAAGTACACCGACGATTAATCTAACGTTTCTGGTGTTTATCATCGCTGGTTGATATAATCAATGTAAGGTTTGATAAATAGCAAAAAGAAAAAGGGGAAAAAAAATTGTGAAAAGGAAAATTTTTCTATTTTTAATCAATCGAATATTTTTTTCGTTCTTTCTTTCTTTCGAACTGAGATTGTAACAATAGAAAGCAGAAAAAAAAAAGAAAAAAGAAATTCGCATTTTACGTGTTTTATTTGTGTTGATAAGGAAGGACGTGTGGTGAGTAGTAACATTGTACAAGATACGTTCAATCTATTCATACAACACACACACACACAATAAGAGATGAATCAAATATGGGTATACTCATAGGACCCTTTATTGAATTACATATATGTATGGTTAATATTAGTATGTTACGTGTTGATGCGGAGCACACAACTTCAAACTACCAAATGAAACTAACACGCTATCATTACTGGAGAATTTGTCTGAGCAGGTTGAATAAGGAGAAACTCAACAATACATGGTGGTTATTGATAATATCTCACATTGTATGTAATTAAAAATGTTGAGATTCTACTAGTTTATTTCATTCCATGATTAAACACTCAATTTATCGTTTCTTTTTATTACTCCACGAATTGCCCTCAATATTTTTCCATTCATGTTAAATTTTCAAACACACTGTAAATGTTGGCTTTTATATAGATATTATAATGTTGATCTCACGATACACTCACATTCCCTGTGGAAATGTAAAACAGGGGAGTTAATCACAAACAATAATAAGAGACAGAAGAAACATAAAATGTATTAAAAGAAAAAAGAAAAGAAAACGCACACACTTTCTCTTAACAACACAGATCTAGACTCATTGAACAAGAAAGTAGTTAGTCGCCGTAAAACCAATAGGAATCAAATAGGATCTCTCTTATTATCAGATACAACCCAACTCCCACGTTCTTTGTCCAGATTAGGACTTCAAATGAGAAATAAAAAAATATAACCTTGAGCGAAGGTTTCTTTTTTATTTATGTATTCTCTTTTGTCGCTAAGAATGTTGCGAATTGTAACATTTTTTTTGTCTGCTGTTGTTGTTGTTGCAAGGATCGTTTCGCGCGGGAGGAAACGTGTGTGTGTGTGTGTGTGTTGGCCCCGGCTGCCCATGTGGGAATTTTATATTTGTTGTTTGGCAGCATTTTATTTTAACTTTGAATGGAGGGCGTGGGCTGCAGTGGGCGCGGAAACTTTAGACCGATTGGGTGAAGGAAAGATAGAAAAAAGAAAAAGAAAAAAGAAAAAAGGAAGAGGAAAAAAAGAACATAAAATTTTTTGTGTGCACATGTGTGGTGTGTGTCATAAGATGACTCGTGGTTTAAATTATATATAAAACCAAATGAATCTGATAGAATGTTGTATATATAGTTTTCCCATTTTACATTACATTTCCACCATTTAGTATACATATATATATATTCATTTTTTTTTATACATTCAATCATGGCAAAGGTAAAGTCATCATATACTAGGATATATTCAAAATTTCCATTCAATCAATGTCTGGATGAGCATCTATTTGATACTGTGAATCTAATAAAGCACGGAGTCAATTTAACAATTCAAATTGGAACTTTAAATTTAGAGGAAATCGAAAGATATGAAAGCAAACAATGTGATAGCAATGTTGTACCTAACGAAGAAGAACTACTAGATGATCTGTTGGAAGAAGAAGAAGAGGAAGAAGATTATCATTTACCACCAAGTCCCATTCTAATACCTATAGAATTACCCAAATCATCCATGAAAAGAAGATACAGCAGTACGTTTAGTACTAATAGTAGTGAAGCCAATATATGTTTCTCCAGTTCACCCAAAAGTCAGCCTAATATGACATTACTTATTTGTCGTAATAAATTGCAACACCTAATAGATGAATTTTTCGAATGTGTCTCATGTCACGATCATAAAAACTATCAAGAAATTAGTAATTATGTCATAAATTCAATAGTACAGAATGAACCAAATTTGGAAACATTTGTCAACAAGATTATAGATTATAAGTTTAAGAATGAATTAATTGAAATTATTAAAACATTATTTGTGGAGAAATTTGAAGAAACAAAACTTGAAGAATTGATTGATTATATGAATAATTTGATAAATTTAAAAGAAAATTGTATAAAAAATCTTGATAATCCTATGATTTATACTAAATATTACAAGATTTGGAGATTGTGTTTATCTAATTATAGATTTTACGAGGAGGAATATTTCTTTGATTATTTCAATAATTCATATAGTAATTTGGAAAGTGTGTTGTTGCAAAATGCATTTCTTATAAATTATAAGAAATTTGTTCATTATTTCAGCAAAGATATAGTTACCTATGACGAGGAGGATGACGAGGATGATGACGATGAAGAAGATGTTGAAGAAGAATGTGAAGAAGAACTGGATGAGATCAATCACGAACCAGAATCACCACTATTACATTACCAGGTTACGTCAATACGACCCCTGAATTGCTGCTTGATTCGTCTTTAAATGAAACACCAAAACTGTTGAGATTCAATGATGATATCGATGTTTATAAAGATCAACAGGTATTTACCAGTTGATCATGTACTATATAATCAATTTATAAAGCATATAGAGTAAAGAGTTACAAAAGAGTATATATACATTAAGTTGATCAAACGTATATTATGCGATGTCACGTGTGCACTTAATCATACGTTTTTGTTTTTTAGTTAATCTGCTGTACATCAAAGGTTAGAGATATGAGAGAGGATTGGTTGCTGTGTCATGTTATTACAACTTATTCAATGTATTGCCAAGACCCCGTCCCAGTTGTTCCTTTAGTAAGATAAAAAAAAATAGAACAAAGTTGCACGTAATGTATGAGACTTTGAGAGGGGTTAGACAACACATAGTGTAAATGTGAGGGGATAAGGGGGGGGGGGGAGAGAAGAGTTGAAAGGCTGATTGTTAGCTTTTTATTTAACGAATTGTAACAATCTTTCTCCAATACTATTTCATTTTTGTGGACGTAAAGAATAAAAGAGAGAAAAATTCGGGCGACATTGAAGACAGACAGAACCAACAAATACACATACAGACAAATACGCCGCAAATAAGAAGTCAAAGAGAAGAGAAATTAAGGTGGGTGTGCACTAAGCCATACACAACATCATCAACATCAACAACATCAACATCAGCAAAAAAAAAAGTTTTTCTCCTACTCCGATAATCCTTAATTCGTTTTCTTTTTTTGATTTTTACTTGTGGACAATTATCTTTGATTGAATCATTGATTATTTAACAAAAGAACTCAAAAATCCCCAAATATATCCAATCCTTTAGTTTATTATTATTTTCAGGGACAATTAAAATATACCATTGATTTTCAATTATAATATCAAAGAAATTAGAGTTTTTCATCAAACATTATATAATAATAACAACAACAAAAGACAAGAGAGAAGACCAAAAGCGAAGAGAAGAGAAGATATATTATAATGTCCCTTAGTCCATCGGAAACATCGTCATCTAATACTACTACGACGCCCATAAATAATGAACCGGCCCATTCACACAATAAAAAAACTACTACCAAAAAGAAGAAGCGTTCATTGGGTGTGTTTCCTTGTACTCATTGTGACAAAGTTTTCAGTAGATCTGATCATTTGGCAAGACATAATTTGAATCATGAACCAAAAGAAGTATACGTTTGTGAATTCTTGATTGACTACCATGGAAATAAAACAAAATGTGGTAAGAAATTTGTTCGAAAGGATTTAAAAGATCGACATATAAAGAGACACTATGAGTTGTTGAATATGGATAATAACAACACGAATACTCCAGCACCTGTTGGGATTGTAACCAATAGAAAAGAAAGTAACAGCAGTTCATCATCATCTTCAGGAGGAATGCAAATATCTAATTTAGTTGCGGGACAACAGCATAACCGTCTGGAAGATGATTCTGGAGAATCTCCTAAACGGAAAATTATTAGACTTGAACCATCTCAACAATATGTACAAGCCATCAACAACAGCAGCAACAACAATAATAATAACAACCATATTCACAATCACAATCACAACAACAGTATTGCAAGTAATGCCAGCAACCAATCAAATGTACGAACACCGATAAATATTTTGCAACCAGATCAGCCAACAGTTATTTACCCATCTAGTATCCCCTCACAACAAACAACACCAAGGTATCCAACTACAATGCAATACAATATGTATGCTAATAATCAAAACAATCTCAACCATTTATACAAATCATATGGAACAACTATCCCACAGAATGATATATTATCATGGCTTTTTAATGATTCACCACAAGGAAATGGTGTATCAAACTCTTCACCTGAATCAAATCAAATACAGCAAATTACATCGCACGATCAGCAGCAACAACAACCACTACCCGTGCTTCCTCAACCTCAATCCCAGCCGCAGCAGCAACCACCACCACCACCACCACAGCAGCAGCAACAACAACTAGCAGCACAACAAGTGCCACAACAACATGAAATGCAACTACTACCTCATAATATGCCAATACCATCTCCCTTATGGTGGCTCACAATTTTCACCAATGGCAGATCGAATCCAATCTGGTGCTGGTCCAATGATAATGCCCACTCCTCCACAAGCTGGAGGTCTTCAGAACTATTCTTTTGATATAGAAGCATTTGCCAATGGTTATGGCATGGATGTCAATATTTTCATGAATGATGATAATCCCTTGGATGAAATATTTCAAAGAAATTACCAGTCTCTCCAGAATCAAATGCAAGGGTTGAACAAAGATGATGGATTGCGTAACCTCGGATTGAGCATGTCGTCAGTATCGCCGTCAAATACGGAGTCAAGTGTTGATAACACCACAGAAGGCACTCTCCAGGATGAGTCTAAATTATTACAACATTCAGAAAAAAATTTATCCAAAAACAAACAGTATTTCATCGACTCAGGTTTATTGGATGATATATTTGGTCTGGTTGGTATTAGACTAGAAGATTTGCCATTTGATGCCAAACTTTCAATCGAAGATCGTGTTTCGTTTTATTTATATCTGTATTGGAAGCATTTCCATTCTCAGTTTACATTCTTGCATAAACCTTCGTTTGATACTAAATCAGCTGAACTATTATTGTTGGTGGCAATGATTGCTGTTGGAGCTTGTTATAGTTTCCCAGATACCGCCGAAATATTGGCCAAAGATTATAAACAATCTCCCGAGTTTAAATTCACATTGCAAATAGCAAAACCATTGAGATTTGCGATTTTTGAACACGAAGATTTCAAATCACCAGTCAAATTATGGATCCTACAAAGTTTAAATATGTTGGAATGGATTGAAAAGAACTTTTTGACAAGAAGGATGCACGAACGAGCACATTTGCATCATGGTACAACAGTACAGTTGTTGCGAAGAAGTCCAATCTTAGGAGGTAATCCAACACAAAAGAAAAAGAATCAAAGCACCAGTAATTCATCAAGTGCGGCTGAGGAAGAAAGTGAATTAGAAGAAGGGGCCAATTCAAGTGATAATAACGACAGAGACTTGTTTGACAAATGGGTTGAATCAGAATCAATGAAACGTATCACTTTTATGACTTTCTATTTGGATATTATTGATTATGTGAAGTTTAGACACAATCCTCAAATTTTATTCTATCAATTGCAATTGTTGAATTTGCCTTGTGACGATGAAAGTCTTTGGGAGTCTAATGAGGTGAGTGGATCATTTAAGAAAGTTGTAAAACGTCAACGTAAACTTCAAGAGCACAGTGGAAATTTCAAAAAGAAAAAACCCAAAACCGATAATTTTTTGGCAGCATTGAAAAAACTATTAAAATCCTATAAATTAATTGATGTTAAAAACAAGTCTATTTTCTCGCAGAAAATTTTACTAGCTGGTTTGATATCATTGATGCACCAGATGCAACAGACGGATTTACAAAATAGCTCATCATTATTATCCAATCAAAGTTCACATGCAAACAACAAAGTTTGGAAAGAGATGTTGATTCGGTCATTTGACAATTGGTATTTTGAAGTTATGCAAGATAATGAATCACTCAATTCTGCTGGTATTTCAATGTTCAGTTTACCTAATAGAAATGTTCCATTCCCAATATTTTATCTTACCCAGATCATTGGTTTGCCTGAAGTCAATCATTACGATATTGCCATCTACGCTGGATCTCCTGCAAATCAAAGTGTTGATGCTACTTTGAAAGATCATTTTATAGTACAGCAAAAGCTTAACAATATTTGGTCAAAGACAAACAAGAATCCAGAAAACATTCGTTGTATTTTTTATTGTTACAGCTTGTTGTGCAAATTGATGCTAAATGACGATGGTAATGCATTAGATTGGAAACCAAATTGTGATTATTATGATGCAATGAATTGTATAAGTAGTGCCACATTAGTTTTATGGAGTTATTGTTTTGCAACTTGTGGATTGGAAAGCCATCGATATGTTGAACAAACCCAGAATGTCGAAGCTTTGAAATATGCTGAAGATGGTTATAAATACTTGAATAGAATTAAAGAAAGCTTACTTGATCCATTGCCTGAAAAGATGACTAGTGAATCAATTATGAAAGCATGTGAGAAACTTCCACTGATTCCCAACAAGCAAAATATCAGTGGGTTATGTTTCTTGATTTCAAGTAAACTTATCACTAGTCAATGGGAAATCATCAGAGAACATGCTAAATTGATATTCAATTGTGGATTAAGATCAATTGGTAAGAGGACTATATTATGCCAAGATTTGTTTACGAATGAGTTCAAGTAAGACCATGTGTCTGTATTCACATGAAACTATTATATATATATATATATATATGTGTGTGTCAAAATAATTCTTACACTAACAATACAGCATTTACACAACCGTCTCTATCAGGTTCATTTGTAATTTGAGCATATTTACCCCAAACAACTTTACCACCAGCAGTGACCAAACCCAATTCGGAAACGTTGACTTCTATAATTGTACCTTTTGTTAAAACCCCTAATTGAGTATACATTGGAGATTGAGGATTCTTTTTAACACCCAAAATAGGTAAAAATACCGTTACACCTAATTCAGGATGAGTAACATTTGCTTTCTTTTGTCTTAATGCTGCAGGACGAATAATTCTTTCCATTTTAACAGGTCTTCTAGTAAAACCTTCACCAACAAAAGTATGTTTAGTAATCATTCTCTTCCAAGATTTACTTTTAGATTTACCAGTTTTAATAACTTTAAACATTTCTTCTTCAGAAATACCTTTAACTTTAGGTAATGGGACTTGAAATTTATCAGCTTTTTCTAATCTTTTTTGTTTAATAGAACTTGATATAGCTTTAGCAGTATTATTTGTTTGACGATCTAATAAATAAGTAGGTAATGCTTCACCATCATCAACTTTAGGAGTAGATGGTCCTTTAACTTTACTTTCTTGATGAGCTTTAATTTTCTTTTTCATAGCTACTTTTTCAGCATATCTCTTCTTAGCAAATTGTTTACCTCTCCAACCTTTCAAAGTTTGAGCATCTTTAGCAATTCTATGTCCTTCTCTTGCTTCCTTCTTTCTTTTTCTTTCTTCATAATCTAATCGTCTACCATGTTTCTTGATATGTTGTTCAATATATTCGTTTTGAGGCATTGTTTGTTAGTATCCCTGTAGTGTGTTTAATATGTGTAATAAAAAGGAAAAAGTATAATAAAGTTGTAATGAGATGAGTACTGATTGAATTTTTTTTCTCCCTCTCTCTCTCTCCCTCTCTCTCCTGGCTGCATCTGTTTCTTTTTTTTTTTTTTTTTTTTTTTTTGGTTCTCACTTTTTATCAGTAGTGTAATCTGTCACAAAATTGGGACATTGATTTAGGATAATCAATATTGTATGTTTGTTTGATGTTAATGGGTTGTTAATCGGTTGGTATTGTAAGTTGATGATTGGTACCCCATAGATAGATTATAACACTGATGATCATACTATTAAACTAGCGAATGCATAGTGTGTTTATCAAAACCTTTATGAATTATATCTAATTGCATATTAGTGAAACACTTCATAATTAACCCTAATCCATGATCAAAACTACTTTATATGGTACTCCCCTTTTATTTATTCTATTCCTGTCACTTGTCTTTATTTTGATTCATAGTAATTTCAAACACCCCTTTTGCTGTACAAGCCATACTGTGCTTGCACGACCGGCTGGATGTAGATTTTTTTTTCTTTTTTTTTTTTTTCGGAACTAAAAACTGTGCCCTGAATTTCGGTTTCAATTTTTTTTCATTTTGATTTTCATTTGATTTTCATTTGATTTGATTTGATTTGGTTTTCTCTTTTTCTACACGGTGTATCATAGACCAATTCAGAAGTTAACAACATGCGTCTGAAGGATATCAGATTGGTTTTAGTTGGGTTATTTACCATCTCAGTGACATATTTCTTAATATCAACATTTTTTGGATCTAATTCTAATAGAACTAGTATAAATATATCTAAATTACAATTTGAAAGAGAATTAGAATCAAATCCAAATTGGAAACAAGAAGGATTAAATTTTAAACCAACTCAAAAACTTCAAATTGATGAATCAAGTATAATTCGTCAACAATTATCAAAAAGATTTCCATATGATTTAAATTCACCATTTCCTAAAAAAATTTGGCAAACTTGGAAAGTTGGATTAAATGATGAAACATTTCCTTCAAGATATTTTAAATTTCAAAAAAGTTGGGATAAAAAAAATCCAGATTATAAACATTATATTATACCTGATGATGAATGTAATGAATTAATTGAACAATTATATGAAGAAATTCCTGATGTTTCAAAAGCTTATAAAATTATGCCAAAATCAATTTTAAAAGCTGATTTTTTCAGATATTTAATTTTATTTGCTAGAGGTGGTGTTTATACTGATATTGATACTGTTAGTTTAAAACCAATAGATGAATGGATTTCAAATAATGAGAAATATTTAAATAAAAAAAATAATCTTGGTTTAGTAGTTGGTATTGAAGCTGATCCTGATAGACCTGATTGGGCTGATTGGTATGCTAGAAGAATTCAATTTTGTCAATGGACTATACAATCAAAACTGGGTCATCCAATGTTGAGAGAATTAATTACTAAAATAACTGAAATTACTTTAAATAGACAAGAAAATAATCAATTAAATAAAGTTTTAGGTAAAGATGAAGGTGGTGATATTATGAATTGGACAGGTCCTGGGATTTTCACAGATACTGTTTTTGATTATATGAATGCAATTTTACAATCTCCTGAAGTTATTACTGGTAAATATAAATGGGAAACTATTATTGATTGGAAAGTTTTTACAGGAATGGAACAACCAATTGCTATTGATGATGTATTAGTTTTGCCAATCACTTCATTCAGTCCAGATGTTAATCAAATGGGATCAAAAAGTTCTAAAGATCCATTAGCTTATGCTAAACATATGTTCCTGGGAAGTTGGAAAGATGATGGAATGCCAGAAATGGAAGATTAATCTAATGTTCACAATTAAAACTTGTATTATTAGATGTACATTACAATATACACAAATACTACGAATATTATCTTACCATTCTAGTAATATTTTATCCCGTTTTGAAAAAACTTGTCTCGACTCATTATTAAGCTTGGATTTATTATAATATACTGAACAATCTCCATTAATACAGCTATCAGTATACTCACTGATTTTAGTTCCTGGTTTAATTGCTCTATGAACACAATCACGACATGTATTCTCTAGTTCAATGATTTTAGTTTCTGTATCATGAGTTGTCATATTGATATCAGTTATTAACTGTTGTCCATCTTGAAAACAACTCTCACAAATATTCCCAGAACAGTCTAAACTTTTCCCACATATTAAACACACATCAGCATAAGCAGCATGATGTCGAATGTCAATCCCGCGATTGCTTTTTGGAATTTGTTTATACCATCCTTGAACATCAACTCCAATTAAATTGAATATTCTTTCCAACGGTGGTACCAAAACACGTGTGATATAATACTCGGCATCTAGCTCATATGGTTTGTTTGTTTGATAGGAATTGATAAACTCTTCAGGAGTTATACATCTATCTTTAATTCTTGGTTTAGTAATATCTTTATAAACCACATAGGGTACTCTCTCACGATATTGCGGTTCTTTCCGTGGATCTTCTTCAACCATTTTACTGGCAATAAGTGCTCCTGGAGGCAAGTGCTTTTCATTTTTATATGTACCATATCTCACCTCTTTGGCAAAACAGAAATCTTTAACAGATACTTTGTTCATCATGACTTTATGGAATTGTTCAATTGTATATTTCTTAACTTTGGAAAGATTCTTGGTTTCAAATAAAATTCTTAATGTCTTCTCTGTCATTTTCAGTTGGGCCGGTATTCCATCTCGTCGAACTGTTTCTATCCCCTTTGCATCAAATTTAGGCACTGCTTGATCTTCGTATTCATAAGAATATCCAACATATCTTTTTTTGGCTAGTAGTACACATGGATGATAAACTTTTTCAAATTTTAACTTAACTGGGTCAGGAAAGAAATCTGTAATTTCTTTTGCAATTGCTTTACCTAATATGAATGCTTCGGATTTGGATTTACCAGGAAAATAAACAAACAACGAATCTGTATCACCATAAACTACTTTAGCCCCATATTTACCAGCTTCAATCATTTGAATAGACTTGTTGAGAATTTCTCTACCTGTTGAAACAATAGCATCGGATATATCCGAGTTGGGCATACGTCCACTAAAAGTTGCAGATGTATAACCATACGTAACATTAGCTATCAACTTTAATGCAAGCTGTCTAGCATTGTACAACCTGGTTAATTCTGTATCATCTTTGAAAAGTTTCATAACTTCTTTGACTTTAATTCTGATATTCAAAATTTCTTCCAACATCTTCGCTAATATTGACTTTCTAATATGGCTCTTGACAAATACAAATCCGTTTGGAGAAATATTAACACCATCTTCTTTAATTAACAAATCAACCAATCCAGGAGCAAGTTTCAAATTTTTGAGGTACCCAATGTCATTCTTACTCGGTTTGTAGTTATGTAATTTACAGAGTAAAGTAGAATAACAATAATTATAAGCAATCATAATTGATGGGTATAAAGATTGAAAATCCAACACCACCAATGGAGACTTGTAAAAATTTGATTTTGGCTCTAGAATCAAGGGAATACATTCAATTGGTCTCATTTCATGAACATCCTGCTTTGAAGGAGAGTTCAACAATAGACTCTCTGGTTTGGCTATTCTTGATAAAATAGATTCAATTTTAAATTGAGAACCTCGATAGAAATTTGAATTAAATTCAATCCCAATTAATCTTGAATGCTCCACATTTCTCGTTATTAGCTCTTGTACGTTAATTATTTTAAGAATGGTATTCACTCTTTCAGTATAGTACGATAAAACAATCACTATATCACTAAATCTCTTTTTAGATAACCACTGAGACAATTGATAGTTCAGATATTTCGGTAAAGTATGATGTAACAAATGATAGGTGACATTCTCCAATGAATAACTAGTTAAACTCATTTCACTCCTCAAAATTCTCCACACATTCAACATATGTCTACCGGAAATCTCGATATTGGATGTATGAGTATATCCCCAGCGATCTCCAAATTTCCCATTACTTTTGAAATTGCCTCTACTTAGATTTGCCATTAAATTGAGATCAAAAACCATTTTTGATCTTTCGACAAGATAACCCCAAGACATGGAATTGACCTCATATCCAGACAAAATATCCGGATCAAAAAGTTCAACCAAATTCACAAGTTTTGCAAACATCTCCAACTCATCTTCAAAAATCTCAATATGTTGATCCAATGTCGTGGACAATAAACTAATAGTATTTTCATCAATTCTCTTGGTCTTGTCAAACATCAATATTCCAGATTTGAATTTACAATGATCAAACATCACATTAGCATCATCGAAGGAATAAATAATAAGACAAACAGGATCACGCAATGGATCTACTGTAAGTTTAGAATTGGGTGGGTTTGCATGGATTTCCAAATGAAAGCTAGTTAAATAGTTAAACTCGTCTGGTTTTCTGGATACTTTAACAGAATTATAGGAACATTTAAAATCACCACCTTGTGATTTACCGGGTTCAATTTGTGATCTATATTTCAAGTGCTTTCTCAAGGTGTTAGCTTCTTCAGTTTTGAGCCAACACTTGATATCGTTCTTGGTTGGTGGTTCAAGCAGGTACTGCCAGGTTCGGAATTGCCCAGATTTTGCCATATTCTTTGAGTTAGCTTCTTCACGAATTAATTTCGACATCTCCAATGGTGGAATCAGCGATTCATCTTTCATTGGGACAACAATCTTTTGATTAGCAAAAATTAATGGACGCGGTTGAACATCGTCAGTGTTATCATAGAATGGGTCATCATAATTAATTTTCAATATTCCAGAATACAGAAATGCGTCATCACAATTTTCTGGGTATAACAGATCAGGTACTGGAATTTCATATGTATTATCTGTGACTTTTAAATTCTTCATTGGTGGCTGTTCAGGAGTTGGAGGGAATGAAAAATCCTCAATAAAGGACAATTGATCTACTCCAAAATGATTTGATACTGCTGTAGGTTTGATCTGACTCATTTCTTTAAGAATACTTTCATCGAACTGATGTAACTGGGTCAACTCTAGTTCATCTTCATCAATATTTCCATTATCTTTTTGTTGTTCATCCTCGACTGGTATGATCTCTTGATCATCTAGTTCATTCTCTTTCTGTTTTGGTTTTTCATCAGGGTTGAGAAAATCGTTAATATCGATATCAGAGAAATCAGTATCTGAAGACAATGAATCGGGTTGATGTTGATCTGAAACATGATCTTGTACCAAACTTGGTTGTGAAACAAACAAGCTATCATAATCATTCCATCTAATTAACTCATAATCGTATCTCATCTGAAAATTATGATATTGCTTTACTTTCTCGATATCCACAAGATCAAACGATGTTGGGAATTTTTCTAATGGATCACCACCTTCTTGCTGCAACCTTCTTACTTTTAATATTTTTTGTGAAAATCCATGTAAATCAAGTTTCAGTTTCCCGTTTAGTTTGACAACGTAATCTAACAAGTCTCGATTTAGTTCGTCATTGGACCAGGTTGAAGAGCCTGTTCCGAAATACGATATTTTGGATGTTTGCAATGCATCAGTAGAAACATCAAACAATGAGTTCCTAGATCGGCACTGAAATTTCAAGTCATTGTAAATTTGTTTTAAGGATGATAAATATATTCTAGGATGTCCTTCATTATCATATTTATATCCATATTTAAGTTCACCTGCATCAGTTGCCTGTTTATATAAATTAAACTCGTCTCTCTCTATGAAATCATCGTGCAACTCTCTGGGAACCAACCAGCTTCTATTGACTATACTTCCAGAAGTAATATCAATTTCAAGTATTGATTTGCCTACCCGATTAAATGGTAAAGGTTTGCCATTTCTGTTCTCCCCACTACGCAATACATTGTCAACAGAGATAAACTTTGATAAATAACGGCTCAAAACCAGTATCTGATTTCGGTCGTATCCTGTTTTATGAAGATCTGTTAGGATCGGGGATCGGAAATACAATCCACGTGTTTTGGCATTTCCCTTCTCGATATAATCTTTATCAATATTCAACCAACCACAACCAAATAAATTGAAGTCGGTCAAAAACTGTAGAAGGTATGGTATGTGACCTTCGTACACATAATGTGGTTCTGGGTGATAAATCACATTTTCTTTCTCTACCATTCCTATTCTGTATAATGATATTTTCTTTTCCTGGAACAACTTGGTTAAACGGGATTTATATAGTGGAGATAGTAGGGAAATCTTGTAAAAAAGTTGGTATCCCACTTGGAAACCATAGATAGGGACTCCTTTGCATATAGAAACACTGGCAATATATTTCCTCACTTTTGAATTGACCGTAGGTTTATTTTCTTCACCGTTATCATCATCATCATCACTGTTGTCACCCTTTTTGCCTCTTTTTTGCTGGAATGACAGTTTTAGGGCCGATTCAAGATAATTTACCACAAGCTCTATGAACTTCTCGTCCTGTAACTTTGAGTAGTCTGTTTCATGACAAGTCACGTAAATGTAAGGATAAAAATTATGTACATGTATTACAACATTGAAAACAGATGATTGGTTCTCTAGTTTCTGTTTTTTCATGCTTGGGGAAGTGTTATTCTGATTGGTTTCGTTATGATCTATAGAAATCGATCCGTATATTCTAATGATAGGCACTTGAGTAACGCGTGTACAATATTGATCTAACCGTGTGGCAAATGTTTGGTAACTATCATAATCATTTATTTGCACTCGTAAGTTCGAGCTAGAATCAATTTGATTGGTGGTCCAATTTACCGAACTTGCGTTGAGCGTAGTGTTAGATGTGGAATCATTACTTGTATTCATAGCATTGCCCGGAAATTAGAATATTTCAGTTGTCTGGATTTTTTTTTTTTTTTTTTCTATTTATTTTTTCCTTTATCCGTGTTTTTGTATTTTTCGCTTTTAGTGAGAATATTTTATTTTTTTCACTTGAAGTGCTGCAAGATTTACCAATATTTTGTATTAACAATGGCAGAGGGATACAGATTGTCAACGATTAAATTCGAACCATTTGCTAAATTAATAAAGGTTTAGACGAGATTGGATTGATTTGCGATGAATCGGTTGTTCTTATCAAAATAATACCATCCACTAGTTTACGTCTAGTTTTCACGAGATGGATGACGATTTTGATCGATCTAAGGGTTCGGTACAAGTTTCCCAGTGAATATTTCGATTGATATGACGATCAACAATACAGGAGACAGGGTTGCTTCTAATTTCAGGTCAAACTAGAGAGTGGTACACAAAGTTATTCACACGCTCTCTCAATAATGACCAGACCAGAAGTGCAATATTGTTAGTCATATTGATAAAGCATATAAACCCGTATGCGAACTTTTTCAGCGAACCAAAAGTTGTTTGTGGATGTTTATTTTTGTCAAGATTATCCAGATAAAGGTTTGTTGAATTGGCCCATTCCAAAAATAGAAAGCAACAATAGCAAAAACAACAGAGACATACAATAGGCTAAACGAAAATTATCGATAACTAATTAATTTGAATGGAATGCTCATAACCAACATGTTGGGAGATAATGGAAAAAAAAAACCATGATAACTAAACGCAACAATTAAATATATTGCACCAAGTAAGATAGATTTTTTTTTTGTCTTCTCCCTCCTCGCCGATATCCACAAAGTCGAGTGTCATCTTCCCTCAATACATTGCGCTTTTTTTGGGGACATCTTTGAAATGTGTTCAACATTATATATGATGAATACTACACTCTAGAGATATACCATCCCTCATAGCTTGATGCTTTGCCTCCAGAAGAGAGAGTGGGGGCTGAGGGTGTATTATTTTGTAACTCATAGAACATCGAATTGGTTTTAGTGACACTTATTAAAGAACATACACGCACAATGTCATTGAAAGACATTAACGTATTTGTCTTATTTTTCTTTCTTTTTGGGCTTTGCTTTTTGTATACTTCTATCACGTATGCTGCTTCTACTTATACGGCACTCATTAGTCCCCTTGTTTCTGTTGGCAAATGTACTTCAATGCAAGTATTGCATGTACCTAAATGTTTTTGGTGCATTTAGATTTCTTTATTCAATTTTGTCTTTTTAATTTAGAGCTCTTTGTTTGACTTTGCTTGCTATTGTTTTGGGTTATACTCCCGGTAGCGGGTCGTCTGATTATTTAGGCACTTGGATGTTTAAAGAAACAAAAAATAAAGAGAGAATTCAACTATTGTGACAGAGGGATTACTAAAACATTTAATTCATAATCCGGTGTTTGGCGTTTAGCTTTTTGTTTGCTACTTGAATAATTATCCTGATGTTCCAAAGAATAAAGGTATCATTTGATACCTGAGATGGAAAAGGATATAAAAACATATAAACTGAGCTACAAGTGGAACATGATTCCAATAATGATAATAATATAAAAATGGTTCGAGTGAATGAGTTAGAAGTAAAATACGGAAAACTAAAAAAAAAAAAAAAAAAAATGAGGTACTTTATTGTGATTGAAAAAAATTCTTCTTCTTCTTCTTCTTCTTCTCCTTCATGAAACGCCTCAAAGTGTACAACCACATCATTTGTAAGATGATTACGTAATCGGTAAACCACTACTAAAAAAAAAAAAAAAGAGAGGAAGAATTCCAACAACAAAAACAACAACAACAACAACAACAACAACAGAAAAAAAAAAAAAAAAAAAAAATTCTAAAAGGGAATCCAAAGTTTACTTTTACTTTTTGCTTTTTTTGATTTTTGCTTTTTCTTTTTCTCTTTTATATATATACATATACATTTTCAATTTCAACTATTAATATTTTTCATTTTTATATATATATTTATATTTATATTCATATTTGAATTTCATTTATTTATATTAATTTATACTACTACTACTACTACTATTAGAATTTCCAGATTCATTGTTTTATTACTACCACCCAATCTTTTCCCCCCCCCCGTTCAATTTAGCACCAACTTCAAAACAGTAGAACAATGCAAGACAAGGATTTGGGATTAGATATTAATAACTTGAAAATCAACACTAGTGTACCTAGTAGCAAACCACCATCAGTACCACCTCCACAAATGCCACAGCCTCCACAATCATCAGATGAACAACAACAACAACAACAGCAAGAATCAACACGCGTTAAACCACCTACATCAGTGCAATTACCTTCTAATCCCGTACCGACCGCCTCACTTGGGAACCCTCCATTGATTTCTCCTTCTTCAGCACCATTACCTCATATTCAAGCAAAACTAATGGCATTCCAACAAGGACGTTCTAAAGCTACTTCTACATCAGATATTGGTTCCCCTAAAACGCAAAGTCCACTGGGTACTCCTGGCGAATTGGCCAGAAGAATATCGGACCGTAAAAAGCCAAATTTTAAACTAAATTTGAATGATCCAGGTAATAATAATAATAAAAGTCCTCTGGGTACACCTGGAGAATTGGCTAGAAGAATGTCTGATCGTAAGAAACCAAATTTCAAACTAAACTTGAATGATTCAACTAATGGGAACACTAGTACTTCCACTACTCCACCAAAATCAGATAGTCCAACCACAAAAAAGGATGAACCTCAATTACAAGGATTATTTGCTAATTATTCCAAATATGTTGATATCAAATCAGGACAATTAAATTTTGCTGGTAAAGCATCTTTACATTCTAAAGGTATAGATTTCCTGAGTGGGTCTTCATTTAGAATTTCATTTGATGAATTTGAATATTTGGAAGAATTAGGTCGTGGTAATTATGGGTCGGTGCTGAAGGTGTTGCATAAACCAACAGGTGTCTTGATGGCAATGAAGGAAGTTCGTTTAGAATTGGATGAAACTAAATTCACTCAAATTTTAATGGAATTGGACATTTTACATAAATGTGATTCTCCATATATTGTTGATTTCTATGGTGCCTTTTTCGTTGAAGGTGCTGTTTATATGTGTATTGAGTATATGGATGGTGGTTCATTAGATAAGATTTTTGGTCATAATATTGGGGTTAAGGATGAACTTGAATTGGCATACATCACAGAATCAATCACGCTTGGGTTGCGTGAGTTAAAAGACAAACATAATATTATTCATCGTGATGTCAAGCCAACTAATATTTTAGTCAATACACAAGGTAAAGTTAAACTTTGTGATTTTGGTGTTTCTGGTAATTTGGTTGCATCCTTGGCTAAAACAAACATTGGTTGTCAATCATACATGGCACCAGAAAGAATCAAAAGATTGAGTCCTGATGATGCAACTTATTCTGTTCAATCCGATGTTTGGTCATTGGGTTTGACAATTTTGGAATTGGCTGTTGGTCACTATCCATATCCACCAGAAACTTATGACAACATTTTTTCTCAATTGAGTGCTATTGTTGATGGAGAACCACCAAAACTAGATCCCCAAATTTATTCCAAAGATGCTCAATATTTTGTTAAATCATGTCTTAATAAGAATCCTGATTTAAGACCTTCTTATGCTGCATTATTAAATCATCCTTGGTTAGTTAACATTAGAGATGAAAAATTACAAATTGCTGAATCACATTTGGCAGACACTGTTAAAGAAAGATTAGTACAAATTGAAGAAGTTGAAAAGACTAAAAGTGTCAGTCGATCCAATAGTGGTTCTAGATCAATGGCTGCAGTTCCTCCTCCTGCTAATATTGAAAGTGTACAATCATTATTAAGAAACAAAGTGAAAGCTCCCGCATTACATAGAGGTGGGCTACAAAAGGTTAATAGAAGCTTTCTTAATGAACGTGAGTAATTATTGGAGGAGAGGTTAGTAGCATTAGATTGATGGAATTTCTATTAAGAACATGAAGGAATACGTTTTTTTTTTTTTTTTGTAATGTTTATTATTATTAATATTATTATTATTATAAATACAAATATATATATATATATAGAAATAAGATAAACTTAACTGAAACACAGAAATGTAAACCAGAGAGAAGTAAACTGAGAGATGTTATTCATTCAATTATAACTTCTTTGACATGTAAGGACCATCCAATTCATAACCAAGTTTAGCATAATAATTTCTAACACCCACACCAGAAATGACACTAATTTTTTCAGAACCATGTTCTTCTTTAGCAATTCTTGCAGCTTCTTCCATTAATAAAGTACCAAAACCTTGATGTTGGAATTTTCTAGGATCTCTTGAATGTAAAGGAACAACAGAACCATAAACATGTAATTCTCTAACAATTGAAGTTGGTTGAGAAGTAAATTCTTTACGATAAGTATATTTTTTACTTGCTTTTCTTAATCTTAATAAACCAATTAAAATATCTTGTTTTGGATCTTCATAACTTAAAAATGTTTCCCAACCTCCATTAGCATAATAATCACGACGAATTAATTCAACTTGATCAGGAATAACTTTATGATGAACTTCTTGAATACCAACTTCTCTAGTACGTACATCTCTACAACTTGTACCAAAATCTTTCATTCTTGCAAGGGCCAATTCACGTAAATTACCATTTTCAACCCCTGAAGTAACTAATGGCATAGGAATATCTCTTTGAACACGATAAATTCTAGTCCATGGTGGAACTAATGCCATTATACGAGCAACTAAATCAATTAATGCATTTGCATTATAAGATTTATATAATCCTTGTTTCCATAATTCATATAATCCAGTACCTCTAATAACTAAAGTTGGATATAATTTTAAACCATCAGTTCTAAATTCAGGATTTTCAAAATATTCTTTAAATTGTTCTAAATCTCTTTCCATACCAACATTTGGTAAATCAGGCATCATATGTGAAACAACTTTATAACCTGCATCTTTAGCAACAGCAAAAGTTTCACAAACTGATTTAACAGTATGACCTCTATTAGTATCTCTTGCAACATCTTCATAAACTGATTGTACCCCAATTTCTAATCTAGTACAGCCATATTTTAACATATCACTTAAATGAGTTTCAGTACAATAATCAGGTCTTGTTTCAATAGTAATACCAACACATTTAGTTTGAGATTGTTGACTAAATTCAATAGCTTCATCGATATTTTTCTCATTAAATCCAGTTAATGCATTATGTAATTGAGTAATAAAACCTTCTCTATAATCAATAGGTAAAGACATAAATGTACCACCCATAATAATATATTCAACTTTATCAATTGAATGACCTAATGATCTTAATTGATCAATTCTACCTCTTGCTTGTTCATAAGGATCATATCTGGCACGAATAGCTCTCATAGAAGTAGGTTCATAACCAGTATAAGATTGAGTACTATATTCAAAATCTGAATCAGGACCACCAGGACAATAAACACAAATATTACCAGTATATGCAATATGAGGACATCTATGAGGTTTACACATAACTGCAACAACAGCTATACCTGATGCAGTTCTAACTGGTTTTGCTTTTAATTTAGGAATTAAATATTTCTTATGTTGATCAGGTATACTTGAAATAATATCTGTTAATCTTGGTTGTTGACGTAATTTATATTTTTTAGCATATCTTGTAATTAATCCATTTAAATTTATATCTTTTGAAGATTTAAGTGATGCAACTAATTCTAATGAAATGTCACCACAACATTGGATAAATCTTTCCTTTTCTGGAACTTTATTCTTTTGAACTGCCATTATATCGAAAATGTTATAGTATTATGTGAATATTTAAATGAAATATCCTTAATAAATGAAAAATGAAAGCAATTTGTATAATCTCATCGAAACTTGGGATTTTTTTTTTTTAACTGTGTGTGTATTCTATAGTTAATGATCGTGCAGGGCACGACCCGTACTTTTCTTTTTTTTTTTTTTCATGAGTTTGAAAAAAATTTTTCTCCATTTTAATCCAATCACGATAATCAGATTACATAACGATTCATACCATACATCAAAAATGTTACCAATAAGAAGAGGTATTGTTGGTGTTGGAAGTCAAATTCCTAGATCATATTTATCATTTTCAAAAACATCTCAATTCATTAGATTTAATTCATCTATTTCAGAAACTGAAAATAAAAAAACCAATAATAATAATAATGATACCAGTATTCAAAAGAAAAAGAAGAAACAACCAGATATTTCACAATTACCATTAAATTATCTTGGATGTATGGCTGATTTTTATATTCCTCCAAAATTCACCAAATCACCAATTTTATCCTGGCCAAGATTAATAATTAGAAGAATTCTGTTGTTTGCATTAAATACATATAGTATAATTGCATATAAAAGAGAATTAGGAGTACCATTACAATTTAATTTATGGAAAGATAAAGGAATTGAATCATATATTAGAGCTAATAAATCATTTGCAAATGCTTGTAATGAAGGTAAAATTAAAATAAAACAAGATATTATTAATAAAAATTTAGATCATGTTTGTGGTATTCATTTTATTGGTGCTTTATTAAATAGAAGTTTAACATTTCCAAAAGATTGTAAATTAACTTGGGAATTAATTAAAATTGAAAAAGATCCAAAAATTATTTCGTTTAATACTATTCCTGATAATAATGGTGTTGCTGTTTATGTTCAATTTATAATGAAATTAAATTCAAAACAAAAAATTACTATTAAAGATAAAAATGATAATATTACTCAAGAAAAGGAAAGTTCAGTTGAAGATTATTTGGTATTTTCACTTGATCCTGTTAATCAAGAACTTTTATTAGTTGGTAAATTATTTGAAAGTGATCATATTAGAGGATTGAAATCTGATCTTGATATGCTTAATACTAAAGAAATGCAAAGATTCTTGAAATTAGCTGCTGATATTTATAGAGCTGATCCAAAAGATACTACTCAAGTTAAACAAAATTAAGAGTAATGTAAATAGATAACAATTGAATAAACTAATTTGTATATATTCCTTAACAAACAATTTGAATTTAAACCTCTTTTTATGAAAATGAAAACTCCTTTTAACTCTTTTTAACTCTTTTTTCATTTTTGATAATTTTTATTTTGTTTTGAATCAACAAATACAACCTGATACTAACCCGTGATAATAAATAAAAACAAACTTATAGATACCCGTCAACCACTAAATGAAACCCCACTCTTTTTTTTAAAACAAAAAAAAAATCTCTATACAATATTTTTCTTTTAGAACAATCCCTTTTTTGATTATTTTATGAAGAAAAAATCTATTTTTTATAATTTTTATTTTAGTGTCCGTGCTTTTTTTAAAAAATTCTTTTTATTCATTGTCCATGAAAAATACATTATCATAAGTGATTCCAGCTTTTGGAAGTGGAAAATCATCATCGTCAACAATTGCTGAAGAGTTGTTAGGATCTTGAATATACCCACCCAAGATCTTTGAGTGTTGTGGATTATTTTGGTAACTTTGAGATGGTACTCGTGAACCAAATGAAAATCTTGAAGTTGGAGTAGTGGAACTAGATACATAACTTGGTGCTGCGGTTTGCCAAGTTGAATTGGCAGAAGCATATTGTTCTGTTGGAGAATCACTAACATTCATTGATGTATTCAAACTCAAACTAATAGATTTGGATTTGGCAAATGGTGATGTCTGAGTAGGAGCAGTATTATATGCGGATGCATTGGTTGCAAACGCACCAGAATATGAATTTGATCCGAAAAACAGATTTTGGATCAGAAGCAGTCTTTGATGATAATGGTTGTTGTTATTGATAGAAGTAGATGTACCATAAGAATTGGCTTGATTCTGGAAATTTGGAGAAGTGGTTTGAAATCCATTATGGTAACTACTAGGTTTGTTTTGCACACTTGAGGATTGAGGTGGGAATTGATAATTGAATTCTGATCTGCTGAATGAACTTGAGCGTGCAAGACTTTCTTGAGTAATCAGACTTAAAGAAATGGGTTCTTGTTGTGATGATTGTTGTGGCTGTTGATGTGGTTGTGCTGATGGTGGTTGGGTGTATCCGATATTTATAAAAGTTGCAACATTATGGTTTGACAACGCACCTGCGCTCCCATGGTTGACGACATTCGTTGGAGAATTACTACTAGAACCAAAAGCTTTATCAGCAGCAGCAGCAGCAGAAGTAGAAGCAGAAGTGTAATCTGAAGAGAAAAATGAATTCTCATATTCTGGAGGTGTGGCTCCCGTTACTATCGCACTAGTGTTCTTCAAAGTAGACGACGAAGTGTTGCCAAAAGTACTGTTATTAAAAGAAGATCTTCTTGTATTTTGTTTCCCACCATTGTGACCAGCACCGGTAAGCATAAAATTTTTGGAATTAACTCTTGTACCATCAGGCAAGAAATGAGCTAAAGCACATTTCAATCCAAATTTACAATTACCTTTTTGAAAATACTTGCAAGGAACTTTATCGGCACCCAAAGCACCATCTAAATTGTGACTAAATGGACAAGTATTACCTGCTTGACAAATACCTTGACGATAAAACTTACAAGGAACGTGACCTAGATTCTTATTATTTGATGAACTTGATCCATTAGTGACAGGAACAGTACCTGGTGGACCAGTATTTGGAGGTAATTGAGCTTGAATAGCGGAAAAATCAAAAGAAGATTTTGCGGAATCGGAATAAGATCTCATTGCAACTGGAGAAGAACTTGCAAGTGGTTGAAGTTGATGTTGATTGTGACTGTGATTGTGATTGTGAGAACGAGTACCCAAGTGGTTGCTGTTGTTGTTAGTCTGGTGGTGTGTTAAACCGTCTGGTATTATCTGAGTAATACCCATTTTTATTAGTATTGTGTTGATTCCCTTTTTTTTTCTTTTCTTTAAAAAGATAAGCAACAAAGAAAAAAAAAATAAAAAAAAAAAAAGATTAAGGGGGAGATTAGTCAGTAAAAGTAAAAGTAAAAGTAAAAACTTGTATAATAAACAGAATTTTGCTCAAATCAACTAAAGAGTAGTAATTAATACTTTTCAATATATAAAATCAATAGGCAAAGGGCAGAAGAATAATTAGAAGAAATAAAGAAAGAAAGTAAAAAAAAAAAAATTCATAAAAATTTTTGGAGAAAAGGAAATTACTGTTTTATCATTTCTTTTGGTTTTAGTTTATGATTAGATTAGATGTGTTGTGTATGTGTATTGTTTGTTCGTGTGTGTGTGTGTGTGTGTGTGCTTACACACTTAATTTGATAAGAAGAAATAGGCGTGGACAAAATTGACAATTTTATTTGACACTTGACTTTAATGAGTGTGTGACAATTGTGGATCCTACATTACAATATTTTATACAGTGTCAAATGGAAGGTTTATTACTCATACAAGAGGTCTATTATTTCAAGGAGACAGTATGCATACAACGGTTTATAACCTCCCTTATCCCCTCCCTCCCTCTCTCTCTCTCTTTCTTCTTATCCCATGATCCTCAATTTTTTCTTTTCTTTTCTTTTCGACTTTGTTTGATTCTACTTGGGCTTTATAACTTGAACAATACGTACCAAAAAACTATTGTTATTATTAAGGTTATCAAACGTTATATAACTCACCATCCAGGGGGGGTGTGTGTGTGTGTGTGATAGAAGGCGGAAGGAAGAAAGAAACTATGTCCGATTTCACGGAGTTTGTTCATTTTTACACACACACACACTCTCTCTCTCTCTTTATATTTATGTATGATTGACCTTTATGAATTCAAAACCCTATTAGTTAATATATATATATATATATTATTACCATAACCACCATATTCTTGGTTTGTATAAAAACTGAAAAAGAAATTATTGCTAAAGTTAAACTAAACTGTGGTATCACTATTGTTATTTGTTATTTGTTATTTATATTTTTTTTAGTTGTTACGTATATAAGACAGATCTCTTCAAGGTATACATAAACTAAGGGTCAACCTAACTACCATTATTCTTTACTAATCCACACTTATTTCCGTAGAGTTATACATATTATGATTGATTGCTTTCCATTGATGAATTAGCAATGTTTCGGATTCTTCTATTAATTCGAGACATAGAAAAACGTCTGTTTTGTTAATTTTGCACACGATCCGAACCTCGGAATCTAGGTCTCGTCTTTTTCTACGAAAATTCGGATAAATTTCCAACTAAAAAAAATTAAATTACTTATAATAATAATTATAAACTTATCTAATATACATAATTTGAAGAAAGTAAAACAAACAACACACACATACACACAGAATTATTATTACCATAACAAAAACTAACGTCTATCAGTTGAACCAATACCTCTTTTACCACTGAACAAATGTTTTGGTAAAGCAGCAGTAGAATGACGATCACCTTCACCTTGTCTAGCCATTCTATTTCTTTCTCTTCTTTGCATTTTAGCCAATCTTTCAGCTTGTGATCTCATAGCACCATCATTAACACCATCATTAAGACGATCAGTTTGAGAAGCAGCAAATTTCTTCTTGGCCAATTTACTAGCTTTAATACCTTGATTTTTTCTCAAAATATCAACACCAGACATAGCTTTAGATGATTTTTCTTTACCAAGGGTACGTCTCAATTTATCGGTATCATGACCAATGTTATACATATGTTCTTCCATATCATTATAAGTTTTCTTGATTTGATCTCTTGGCATAATAGCTTTGTTCTTCAAAGATTTTCTGTTTCTACCTTCAATAATCATAGTCTTTTGTTTATTTCTAATCCATTCGGCTTTTTCTCTGATATCAGCAGTTTCTTCATCTTCAATATCAGAATCAGAATCATAGAAACCTTCTTGTTCTAATCTTTCTTCTTCTTCTTCCAAAGCTTGCAATTTAGCAGCAATATCTGGATCCAAATAATCATAAACATTCTTACCATCCAAAACTTCTGGCATAACATCATTCTTCCATTCTTCATCTTCCAACAAGTATTTATCTTTCAAGTTAATGTTGAAAACACCAGCACCACCATTTTCAGCTTCGATATCTCTGGCCAATTTTCTTCTGTTTGGATCATTAACATCATATTTGGATAAAGTCTTAACAGCATCTGGAATATGTGGTAATCTTTCAACATCATCACGTTGTTGTGGTTTAGCAACATGAATTTTGTTCAAAACATTATTAACTCTAGCAGTACCTTTCAATTTTTGTTCAATTCTAGCAGTCAATAATTTTTCACAAGCATGATTACGAACTTGCATGACATTTTCTTCTTCATGACAAGAAGCATTCATGATTTCAACCCCTGGAACAGTAGTTAAAGTTTTCAACAATTCTTGTTTTTCTTCACTTAAATTTTCTGCTTTAATAATATCAGATTTATTCATAACAACCATAACGGATTTATTAGCAAATAAAGGTTTAATAGAATGAAATAATTTAACTTGAGCTTCAATAGAGAACCCACATTGTTCGGAAAGATCCATAAAATATAAAACACAAGATCTTAAATGAGCAATAGCATAAATAGATTGCATTTCAATATTATTCATTTCTTCAGTTGGACGATCCAAAATACCTGGAGTATCAATAGCTTGAAATCTTAAATATTTATAATCAAAATGACCAACATATAAAGATTTAGTAGTAAAAGCATAAGGTTGAACATCAACATCAGCTTTAGTAATACATCTTAAAAATGAAGATTTACCAACATTTGGATAACCACAAATCAATAAAGTTCTAGTATTTGGATCAATACTTGGCAATCTACCCAAATGTTGTCTAACTTGTTCTAAATAAACCAAAGGATCCTTTAATTTTTTAACAATAGTAGCCATTCTACCTAAAGCAGCTCTTTTCAATTGTTTACATTGATATAAAGATTGACCAAATTTCAATAATCTATTATAATCTCTAGAAACTTGTTCAATCAAAGTTTTAGCTTTTGAAACAGCAGCAAGAGAAACTTTATAATGATTCTTTTCATATAAAGTATCCATTAAATCACGATGAAATGGATGAACATCATTAATATTTGGAAATCCCAGTAATAAATCAGTAAATTTTTCAGTAAATCCTTCAGCAGTAAATTTAACTTTTCTCATATAAAATGCACGAATACGAGTAATTTTAAAACCTGGTCTGATAACTGTTGGAGTTTTTCTTTGAGTACGATTCAATACTATATCTAACATATCGTTAGATGTAGGAACCGGTGGGATATCCTTCCATGAAAGTTGCATAGTTGATAATTAATTCAAGTTAATAAATATTTAAGGAAGAAGAAAGGGGAAAAGAATTTTTTATGAGATGAGATTTTATGATTTTTTTTTTTTTTTTTTTTTTTTCTTTTGGATTTTTTTTTTTCTTGCTTTACGTAAGCAAACCAAAGCGATGCTTGATTAAGACACAGACAAATTAGATTGTTACAAGATAATGAATGAAAAATTCACTGTGTATAATGGGAAGTATATTAATAAACAAAAAATACAAAAAAAGTTACCTAATAGTTATAGAACACAACAATGGTAATATTATTATTATTAATAATAATAATAACTATTATTTTATCTACCAAAAATCTAGACTATTCATTATGGTGGAAAACCAAATAGTTTGGTAATCCAAAAACTTCATAACCTAATCTCTTGGCCATCTTTGCAAAACCTTCAGTTTCAATCAAATGATAGAATGGGAATGAAGGGAACATGGCACCATCTCTATGAACATCAGCATTGACCATGACAGCACCACCACCAACACCATCCAATGCCATTTGAGCATTTTTATCACCTTTAGCATCATAGAAATGTGCCATTAATGGTCTATAAGTAGCCATTTCTGCATAACCTTCAACAATAATTTCATCATCTGATAAACCAGCAGCAATCTTCAAACCTTCTTCACTTTCAATCCAATTATTGAAATCATATGGTCTAATAGAAGGTTGTTTAGTTTCTGGATCAATAAATCTTTGATAAACATTGGCAGAAACAACTGGTTTATTATGAGAAGTTAAATCTTGAATCAAAGTAGGTGGAGTTTCAACAATATCAGCATCTAACCACAAGATCCAAGAAGTTGAAGGTGAGATAGTACTGAAAACTAAAGAATTTCTTGCTAATGCCATCATAGATCTTCTTTCTTTTTGTACTTTAAAAGCATGACGATCTTTTTCCAATTGACTTTGTAAAGAATTTGAATCTTGTCTTAATAAAGTGATTTTCTTAAAATTTAATTTCTTTTCTCTTTTAGATTTCTTCATGGCATTTTCCAATTCTTTTAAAGCATCATCACCTTCAGTAGTTCTTGGGAAAATAAAACCTAAAGAAATTAAAGAATGATCATATGTTAATTTATTTAAATTGTCCCAATATTCAGGTAAAAATTTAGACATTGGAGTTAAAATTAAAACTTCTTCTCGATGTTTCAATGCATCTTTACTAGCAGATAATTTATTTAAATCATAATGACTAATATGATTCTTTGGTAAGTTTTTCAATATTATAGAATCTCTATTCTTATAAAACCATCCTCTTGATTTCTTATTATATTGATATTTCAGTTTGGATGAAGTAAGACTAGATGATGAAAAGAAGAAAAGATAAACCACGAATAATAACGTAACTGGAGCCAATAATGCCAATGGTTTTCTTCGTATATAATTCAAATATCGATTTTTATAATGAACCATAACTGCAACTTAAGAATAGGTTTTTTTTTTTTTAATATATTCGTTTCCTGTTTTGTTTTGGAAAAGGCTATGCAAACAAAAAGATACTAATAATGGAAATAAAAGGATAAATGGATGATATATTCTTCTTATTAGAATGTCCAAATGTAGATGAAAAACAACAAAACAAAATCTATATATATGTCAATAAATTCAATATAAAACAGATACTTGAAATGGTATATATATGTGTGTGTGTTTTAAATCGTCTTTGTTGATGACGAAATGAAATTCAATGAATTTTTTTTTTCTTTCTTTTCTTTTTTTTTTTTTCTTCGATTTCTATTATTATTTTTTCCGTTTGTTAGAGAGTCGTGTCTTATGGCTCAGATTGTTTTACGGGCATTGTCGTGTGAACTCGTCCAAAAATAAATATGGATCAAACATGTTGTAATTACAATGTAGGAATACTAATTGCAGATGTCTTGATGGTCACTCTTTGAATAGGAGTAGTTGTATGATTTATCGAAGATGATGGTACACATAATGTACATTACAACCCTACTGACTAGTTCCTACTTTTAAACTAAGTACATAAATCCATTCACCACATTGCATATAATAAGCTACCAACTACTTATATGAGGATCTCTTATCCGTCATGGATTGATTTCTTAATGGTATATATCAACTAATAATACCTACTTTTTTATTTCATCTTTGTAACACGTCCAGGCTTTGACTGTTAACTAGAACTTTTAGTTTTCCTAGTTGTAGCAACAATTTGCTTTTTTGTTCATTCAAACTTTCATACTAGCCACTTTAAGTTATTTTATCTTTCAGTTTATAATTTTCTTTAAATAATGAAAAAAGTCAATAATACCTAATTCAAAAATCAACTCCATCCATAATCATCATTATCAATTGATCTCAATTTAATTCCTCTTAATAATATTCAAATTCTCCATGAGTTTCCATAAATTTATTCCATCATATCAAACTTAATCATATTTTCAATTTAATATATTTTCTGTCTATTATAAAATTTCATTAATTTTATTAATTACTTACTTCTCTAAGTATTATTATCATTATTATTACATTTTTTTTTTGGCATCCATATTATTTTTAATATAAATTCAAAAAGATATTCCATTTCTGAAATCTTCAATTCGGGTTCTAATATTGATTTCCATCTTCTTGGTTATCATTGATGATATCTTGTGGATTATTATAAACTATACTCTATGGAATACGATATTTCTCTCCAAATTCTCATCTGATATAACTATATCCTTGAGTTGTTTTCAATGCTTTATCATATGTAAATTTATCTTCTGCACTAATAATAGCTTCTATTTATGACATCTTGAAGTGATTCTAGGTGGGGATATAGAAACGGATCTTCTGTGTTTACTTTTGAGACCGCGTTTTGCTGGTTGCGTTTTTTTATTTTTATTTTCGCCAATCGTGCACATACGCTCAAGAAAATACTCATACATTAATCATCAATTCATCAAATATAAAAACCTACAAGAGGTGGTTCTTTTTTTTTTTTTCAAACAAATTTCTAGTTTAGTTAAAATCAATTCAACTACACAATAATATTTAAAACTACTAAAATAGCTTATTTGAAAACTTTACCATCGGCAATTTCTCTCTTTTCACCGTTGACTTCAACTGGTTCATCCCAAGCAAACATGTTGTTGATGAATTTCTTGTCTTCTTCTTTAGAAGCATCCAATTTGGTGAAAGCATAAGATTCCCAATCTGGAGCAACATCAAAAGCTGGAATATAGTCTTGACCTCTGACCAAGAAGGCACCAGTGATACCGTTGTTGTTGTTTTCACCATAGACAACCATACAACCAAACATGTATTTGGTAGAAGCAGACAATCTGTTGAAGAAACCACCAACCAAGTTGTTGGACATAAAAGTCAAGGTCAATTCATCATTGTATTTGTAATCAACTTTCCACAAGGACCATTCTTCTGGGTTGTATTGGTTTTCCCAGAACCATGGAATAGCGGTTTCTCTGGTTTCTTCATTAGAGTAAACTCTCTTCCATTCATCCAATGGAGCCTTTGGTTTACCCAAAGCTTCTAATGGGTGTTTTGGTTTTGGAGCTTGAGCTGGTTCATCAGCTGGAGCAGCAGCAGCTTCCTTCTTCTTTGGTTGTTCAGCTTTCTTTGGTTGTTCTGCCTTCTTCTTTTCCTTCTTTGGTGGAACAAATTCAACTGGTTGGTCTCTGAATTTGTAATCAGCCAAGAATGGAGCCAAGATTGGAGTAGCAATAATAGTCTTGAACCATCTGGTGGTGTTTGGGTGTTGTTTTCTCCATTCAGTTCCAAACAAGTGGTCGAAACCTCTGACGAAAACAGAAGCAGCGAAAACATCAGCAAAAGTCAAACGTTCACCAACCAAATAAGTGAAATCAGCCAATCTGGATTCAAAGATATCAACAACTTTAGCCAAGTAAGCGTTACCATCATCAACTTGTTTTTTGTTGTATGGGGAAGCACCAGTCAATGGTTTGAAAACTTGAGCTTCAGTTGGCAACAATTCAGTGTTGGCAAAAGACAACCATCTCAAAACTTGAGCATATTCAGCAGCATTTTTACCCAATAATTTGGATTTTGGATCAGCCAAGTTAATCACTAGATGGAAGTAGTTAGTAATCAAATATTCCAATTGAGAAATATGACTTCAATTGATTTTTTATTTCATTTATGAAATGCTTCAGATTATAAATTCTCGACATGATTTATTAAGACAGGGATAACTGTATTAATATTGAAAAAATTTTCTCATCCTTGTAACATAAATGATGAATAAACAATTGAGTTAATCAAAATAGGAATAAATACATACAGTAAAGGGAAATGGCAATGACTTCAGTCAATTTGAAACCTTTTGGACCAACAAAAGCTGGGATTTTGTTTAATGGAAAGTTCTTTTCATAAACAGCATCTTTGTCAGAAACTTTAACATCCAAGTTAAAGTGTTTAATTAAAGCTTTTGGAGCCAAGCTTCTAATTTGTTGAGTAGCAAATAAAGTACCTTGAGACATTGCAATTAGGTTGTTGTTGTAAAAAGAAAAGAAAAGAAAAGAAAGTGTTGTCTCTGATGAAGAAAAATAAAAAAGTTTTTCTTTCTTAAGGGATGTGATGTTCAATGGAAAGTGAAGAATGAAAATTTTTTTTCTCATTTCCGGGTTGTAAACACGTGACTAGTCGTGTACATTGAAACAGGTATTTTGTTAGGGTTTTCGTGTATTACATTACATGCAGGACTGTCTTCTTTTTCAAAGTCTTTTTTGTTTTTTTTTCTTTGGTCAATACGCCACACCCAGACAATGGCATAACATCACATAGAAATAATTAATCTCCCGTCTAACAAAAAAAAAAATAATATTTAATGAAGAAGGAGAAAGAAGAAAGAAGAAAAAAATTTTTTTTTATTTTTTATTTTTTTTGGGGATTTCCTGTTGCAACCAAAATTTGCAACCAAAATAAATAAAATTGTAAAATTATTCATTTTCGTCAACAGGTCAAAAATCATAAAACATTAAAAAAAAATTAACCCTCTTGTTTAAAAATGTAAAAATTTCATTAGATTTTTTTTATTGCTGATTTAAAAACTCGATATGATTTAAATATTCTAGAAACATGGAAAAACCGTGTACTAAAAATATAATAACCCCTTGATTTATTCATTTTTCCGGTTATTTGTTTCTGATTCATGTTATGAACTAACGCCAGCCCCAATTGTTTTTTTTTTTTTTTGTTGTAAGGTGGAAGTCTCACAACCAATTATTAGTTATGAGCACAAGACTCATTTCATGGAAAAATAAAAAAAAAAAATTCAATGTGGACTTATTAGCAGAAGCAAAGTAAATTTCCTGAAATATCTCTTGAATTATATCTCATTAGTTCAAACATATTACGATTGATCGGTAAAACTAGCCAAATTCTCAGATCTATTTTTGTTTGAGAATTTTGTACAGAAGGTTAAAAAAAATTGAAAGTATCTATACCAAAAAAAATTACAATGTTCAAGACATCCCGAAATTTTTCACAAAATTACAAAAGGAGTTTTGATTGCATGTTTTATAACTTAATGTACATATGTAACAAGTCTTCTATTAACGTGACCACTTGAAGAAGAAGAAAGAAAGACCGAGTGGGATATGGAAAGAACGAACGAATAAGTTTTCTTTAAAGAAACTACAGTCGAATCGGAGGAAATCAACGCGATCTGTCATACTTCTTATGTTTAGCGGGTCAAAATAAAATATTTTTTTTTATACATTTTAATTTGCCTTGTTTAATTAAGCTTTGGAAGTTGCTGTTGAATAAGAAGAAGAAGGACAAGAAGAAACGAACAGTAATTTGAATAATGTTAAAAAACCCAAGTAAATGTTGTAAAAATTCTCAGGATCTGCAGAAAGCACGTTAAACATACTTTTCAATCAAACCATTTAGAAAATAAAAGTAACTGCGCATAGTATATGCTTTTTGGAAAACAAATGGGCAACCAAATCAAACATTGCATTTTTTGTAAAAGAAAAAAAAGAAACAAATTGAAAGACACAAGTTTAAAAATGTTTTACTAGTGTTAATTTTGTGACAGTTTATAATCGAATAGGATTTTTTGATTCGATTTGGGATAGATTCAAAATACATTATTCGTTTGTTGTCACTGTTTGTGTCTCTCTGAATCTCTATATTTTTTTTGTTTTGTTTATTCCGGAAAATTGAACTTATTCGTGGTTTCCATGCTTGATTTATCTCGGAATGGAATCAAATTTAAGGGGTAATTTTTTTTTCTACTGTTCCTTTACATGGTCCCGCAACGCTAGTATCCCAATTTGGTAATATTCCCGCTTATCAAGATATTCTTCTTTATAACTTAAACTAAGGATGTTATCTAAAAGGCTGTATATATAAATATATCTATATAAATTTTTGACATATTGTATATATGCAATAGTTAAATTAAACAAAAAAAAAAAATCTATAAACACCCGAATATATTCCTTCAATTTAATTTCAAATTAAACGAAACCGCCATACAATTTTTTTTTCTTCTCCTTTGGTTAGCCTCGTTTAAACTTGCCTGGTTTCAACCACTTGGGTAATTGTTTTGGTTTGTTCAACTTGGAACTTCCACTCTTGTCGTCGTCCATCACATTCCCACAGTTACCAAAGTTGGTTGATTGAAAAATAAAAGACACGTCGTGGCAAAAAAATTTTTAATTATTTTTTACTTTCGTTATTTTTGCTCTTTGTGGTGATAAAATAAATAAATGGGCAAATTAGTAGACAATAATTCGGAAAATAATAAAATGGGGGGGGGGGGGTTTAAACATTTCTCTCTTTAATATCTCTTGATAATACAATATCAACAATATTGAAATAAAACAACAATAACATCAGCAAAAAAAAAAAAAAACTTAATATGGATGGGAGCAGAAAAATAAAAATAAAAATAAAGTGAACATTTGTATGTGTGTGAGTTGTGGGATGAATGGATTAAAAAAAAATTTCATCATTAATCATTTCCCCTCTTGATATCATGAATTCATTGGATGGATATATCTTAAAGTCCACATAAAATAGTATCTGAATTGCAGTTTGACTTCAGGCTCCAAATAACTTTCATCAACTTGAACAAATAAATTCTGCAACTGACGATTTACATCTCTTATGATATCACTATTATTCATATTCAATAATTTCTTAATAAACTCCCTAATAAATGTTCTTGCGTAATATCTTTGATTATTCCCATAACGACGTGAATTGGAATCAGAAGGATGACTATGAGGATTGTGATGATGATGATGATTTGGATTCAATGTACTGGAAAGTGCATCAATTTGATGGATAGCATTATAATCAATAATCAAATCATTGGAACTTTCAGGATGGTTCATCATAAAGTCAACTTTAATTAAATACCATAATAAATCTTTATACAATTGTGATTCATTTCTAACCTGTTCATATCCAAATACCAGATAACAACTGTTCAAATATTTGATCTCTTGTTCACTGAGATTGACAATATAAGATAAATCAGCATTGAAATATGTAGTCGGATAAACAATATCATCTGGAGAATTTTGACCATTAGAACCACCACTTGAACTATTATTAGCCAACCCAGATGAACCTCCATTACCACCACCACCACCACCACCAGACGTACCAGTTGAAATTGTTGGGGTACCACCACTTACACCAACAGGAGTAGCAGTACTTCCAACACCACTATTAGAACCACTTGTAGAATTATGATGAGAACTGCTTTGACTTCTGTATTCAAGGGATAAGTCAAAGTTCTTGTTAATATAAAATTTGAGAATAGTAATTGTATAAATACAATTGACCAACACAGTTGAATTATTTGCTCTATTACTTTCAATGAATGTATTCAATTTTTTCAATACTTTGGCAAACAATTTCGACTGATTATTCAACACAATCTTATGATAATCTGTGAGCCGCTCTCTAGTAATTGTCAAATAAATACCATGTAAGATTAACACCACACTAATCAATAAATGCTCAAACAATTGAATATTTTCAATCCCAACCAATGAATCTTTAATTTGAAACCATTTATTTAACTGTTCGTTTGTCAATTGAGGAAGATTCGGAGAATTTTGTCTGGAACAACTCATTAAACAATCTAATAAAAAACTATCTTTATCCGAAGTCCTTAAACATAAAGTAGGTACAATACTCTTCCAAATATCAATTTCATTTGTGAGATCCAATAAAGTGTAATACTTTTCATTTTCAATCAATTGAATATAACTTGAAATATCATATCGTAAAGGTAACATATTACTTTGATTCAAACTCATTTGGGGATAATCAAATTGATGTGCCTGAGGATGTTGTAGTAGATTCTGTGGTGCTATTTGTTGGTGTTGTGCTTGTGCTTGTGATTGTTGTTGGTGTTGTGGTTGTTGTTGTTGAGGTAGCGGTTGCTGTAGTTGTGGATGAGGAGGTGGTGGACCCACCGGAATAAAATGTTGTTGGTGTTGATTAGAAAGTGAATGATGGTGGTGTAAAAGTGGTAATTGTAAACTTGCGTGGTGGTGATGTGTAGAAGAAGATGAGGAAGATGGTGGAGGAGCAGATAAAGAATGAGTCGGAGGGGGTGGTGGTTGAGGAGGAGGAAGTATCAGCAGTTGAGGCATTGAATATTGCTGATGTAAATGAGCAGTTGAAAAATTGGTTGAATACAACTCATTAGTGAAAAAATCAGGGTTGAATGGAGTGGTGTTTTGAGATGTTAATTGAGAAATAAATTGACTATTATCTCTCACAGAGGATGAACTGGAGGTTTGTGGTTGTTGTTGTGGTTGCTGTTGTTGCTGTTGTTGATATGGTTGTGGTTGTTGGATGTCCATAGAAGGACGGATAATTGAAAGTGAACTTGATGGTGGTGCTATATTTCTGGATGATGATGAAGATTTTCTATCAGACGTGGAAATGTAAGAATTATAAGTATCTTCTTGGAATTGTAAGTCGGATTCTCTTAAATCAGCTTGTGAATGTAAATGCAAATAAGGTCTATAATTTCTAGTATCATCATATAAGGAAGCAATGGTAATTGACTGATCTAATATTCTGTGTCTTTGTCTAATTGGTTGTTGTTGTTGATAAGAATGTGAATGAAATTGGAATTGATGTGATGCTTGTTGAGTAGACACTAATTGTGATTGATTTTGTTGTTGTTCTTGTTGTTGTTTTTCAGTGTCACCGACTTTAGGTTTATGTTCATCTGGATCATAAAAAGTATATTGAGTAAAATTCAATCTAATACCACGGTAACATTTTCTATTAGATTTGATACAATTCTTGCAAATTGGTTGTTGTTCATCACATTTGATATGCCTGTCCCTACAGGTGACACAACCAGACCTTGTTCTACTTCTTTTAATGGAAGGATTTAATTTTTTCTTTGCCATGATGAAATGGCTCTTCTGAGGGTTGACAGGTTTAGTACTTTAGTTTGTTGGTAGTGTTGTTGTTGATATTTGTTGAATATACAATTGACTTGGATATTGCAGGGGATAGTATACAAAAGTGAAACAATAAAGGTGGGGATGTTGGGGGATGATGAAGGAATGACAAATGTATGTATTCTGTTTTAGATTAATGGTACAAAGAAAAAAAAATAATTAAAAATTTGGGAGTTGATGTTTTTAGTTGAAAATAGATTTTTTTATTTTTATTTTTTTTCTTTTGCTTATTGACAGTTATTTTCTTTGGGGGATTGGGGGTATATTTCTCCTTTGATTATAATTAATGGGAACTTATACGATAAAATAGTAGTAGTGGTGGTAGTAAACTTGATGTTAATGAATAGTACTAGATTGCAAAGACATGGAGTAAACAACCTAATTTCTTTAACAATAGTGGATACACTTCAATGGTGATTGTTGATTTGTTCCAGTCTATCCAAGGGAAATATGCAATTGATAAAAAAAAAAAAAAACAAAAGGAAAAAGATGGGAAGCAAAGCTCCTTCTTTATAATTGATATTTATGAAAGGTAGTTGTTGTAGTAGTAGTTTGTTATAGTGATAGTAGCAGTAGTAGTAGTAACAGCAGTAAACTATTTGATGATGATGGTGATAAAAATATTTAAAGGGTAGTGGGAAAACCTAAAAAATATAATAATAATGAATATTAATTCAATTTATATAAACACACATAAAAATAAAAAATTTAAAATAAAAAATTTAATAAAAAAAAATCCTGATATTCAGGTTATTCTTGTAAATATTTATATGAAAAAATCAGAATCAAAAATCAAGAATCAAAAAATCCAAAAAAAAAATATACGTAAAAGAATACAAAGTACTTTGTATGTATTTTTTGAGTGTTTGTTTACTTTTAAAGAGAAAAAGAAAGTAAAGAAGATTAGACTAAAGGAAAGATTTGTATACCTTACATATTAAACAGAAATCATTACCATTAGGTATTATTATTAATATGTGTATGATGGTAAAACATAAAAAAGGGAAGATTTTTCTTTTTTTTTTTTCTTTTTTTTTTTTTTTAGTTGATTTTTGCTTTCTGGAAATAGTTCTATGATGTGTGGGACTAAGAAACAAAGATGCGGTAAAGGTCAAGTATAATTAGTCAAGCTGTAGTGTTTATTTTGTGTAGTACATGCATGTGGGTCGGGTCATTTGCTACTAATGTACATTTACATAAATTTGATTTTTGTATTCCCTTCCTTTTTTTTTCAATTAGTTTATGCATTCAATCCCAGCCATGTAGAATGGTTTAAATGTCTAGAAAGGAATTAAAGTAAAATAACTTTGTGTCAAAAACAGCAATCACCTTCTTGTTCATCAAGGTAAGTACTTCCTTCATTTTTGCTACTAGGTTGGTATTTTAGTTTTTGTTCATTCTATCATCAATTGATTCAATTTAGGTTCATTTTTTTTTAGTTGTATCGTTTATACTTGGACAGGTCATTTATCTCTATAGTTGAACATATGACGTTTACATGCATTTCAAACGAATCATCAAGAAGTGAATATTCCAGGAAGTAATTAAGAAAAAGAACAAGAGTTTAATGTTTAATGTTTAACCTTATTACATGAATAAAACTTTAAATCTTTATCTATCCCTTTCTATATGATTCGATTTTGAATCCCTTGATTTGAAAGGAAAAGGTTAAACGACAGTGATGAGAGCTCGGTTCCACCTTCTTAATTACTAAGAATAAGTAATCCGCTTACCCACATTAAAAGAGATCATACTTCCATTTCCCACTTTCACTGTGATAATTCTCGAGCATTATTATAACTCTATCGGTAACTGGTACTGTTGATTAAGAAAAAAAAAAAAAGAACACAGCATCTCGCCCCGATGGAGAACAAAAAAAAAAAAAAAGAAAAGTTAGGGCGAAAAAGTTGTTAATCATAATCGGTTTTTCCGAACCGTTCAGAGAATGAGCTAATATTATAAGTCCATTTATTTATTCATCCATTGAAGGAAACAATACCCCCCATCTAGACTCACTTTAATCATCACATGTATGTTACATCTGAGACAATATGTGGAGGAGAATGTGCAGAATCAAGTTGGAAAAGGGGGGCAAAATTCTGGATCTGTAAAACACGCCTGACCAAGATTGCAAAAAAAAAAAATAGATCCAAATGAAATTGATCGGTTTAATGAACTACCAACGGGTTCAATTCTTGTTGCCGCCGTGTCTAATGTTGTTAGTATCTTCAAGTTATCGTGTTTTTGCATTGATATGTTTAAGAGTAAGGGTTACTTAACCCTTTCTTTAAATCAAGGTGTAAACTGTATATCTACTAACGGAAAACAATATCAATCGGTATTTCTTACTTTTTAACGCCTCGAGTTTCTTTATATTGACTATCCATTGAGTATAAAACTATTAATAATTTGCCATCAGAAACCAATCATGGCTAGTGATCAAGATTATTATAAAACACCAATACCGCTAATCTTTATTTTAGTCATTTCAAACACATTGGGGGGGGGAGGAAGGTTATTGCTTTGTTATTTTGCATCATTTAAAAATTCGGCGTGTACCTCCCATTACACTAACAATGCAAGTACCCAAAAAGGCGGCTATAAACTTAAATTGAATAAATAATCATTGATTACCATTAGTCACGGCGGCCCGGAGAGCCGGAGACGGACTGAGAGTGTTTTACACCTTTACCTCCATCTTCACATCTCACTTGTGAATGATCATGACAATAAAAGCATCGTTTTTATTATGGCTGATGTATAATTAATTAAATCTCTAAGAAAGCTTCGGAGATACCTGAAATGATCAGTGGAAAAAAAAAAAAAGAAATGGGTGCGATCAAAGTTTAGTGATTTTCGGTAGATACACGAGTGGTGTTGTGGGTGAGTTCCGGAAAAAATAAAAATGAAAACCCATCTCTTATTTTCAATTGTTAATGAAATAAAACAAACAGTAATAATATTGTTTATAATCTAGGTGTGTTAGTATTTACCAAGATAGAATCTCGGATTATTTCATTGAAGTCGAGGCTTTAGCTGCAGCGTAAGAAAAGAGAATCTCTGGCAAGTATTCCCCTTTCTGATCGTATCAAAAAACAAGAGAGAAAAATTTGCAAGAGTTGCATTTCGAGACCAATGTAGAAATAGGATACCAGATCTAGAAACATGAATACAACTATGTGGCAAAAAAAAAATACCAACAAATCCTTCATAACTGTAAAGATTACTTTCGTTATATCTTGCATTGGTTTTTTGGTTTTCACAAGAATTAAGTTTCACAAGGTTTGTCAACTACATGTTGTTTGAGTACTAGACAACAAACCATAAATTAAAAGAAAGAATCATACCCAATTGCAATACGGCACGAAAACTTAATCACAAATTTAGATAATAAAAAGGGCTCCATAGGTATTCTACTAGTATTTATTGTCATGAATTCTTGATGAATCATTGGTCTGTGTATAATCTCATATTGAATGACTTCATGTAGAATATAGTTTTTCATCCTCCAAAACCTCAATTTATTTAATACTTTTGTGACAATAATAACACAGGTTAGCCTTGCCTCTTCACGATGAGTGTTTCAATCCAAAATTTTAAGTCTAAAAACAAAGACAGTGTGTTTAATGAATATGTGGATTGTTCTCGAATATTGTATTCAATATGTTTGCAAAAAAAAAAAAATAATATAAACCTATATATATATGGTTATGATACTAACCAGGTTGTTTGTATTATATTCTCGTGTTACACACTTCAATTCATAGTCGAGGAGATGATGGTTGATTCGGTTGCATCTTCCCATCCCTGTTGCAACAAAACGCAAAAGAAACAAAGGGACGGTAATATATGCCTCATCGAGAACAAAAAATAAATATTCGAGTCAATGAGAAGGAATTAACGAAAATACTCAACTAAATGTAGAATACGCGTAATAACAGCAACATACCAAGAAGGATCGAATAAAATATTCAAAACGACAGAGGCAATACAAGGAGCTAATAAGTATACCATCACCAGCAGTTTGTCGTTTTCCCTATTAAAGTGTATTACCAATATGATGAGTAATCATATTACTCAGATTTTCTTTTTTTCTTTTTCCATGACCGCTAGTAAATTTTTTTATAACCGATATTATCACTCACACGCACCACTGGAACACACACATAGAAATGAACAGAAGATACACATTAACAAAGAATTAAAGGTCAATGTGACGTAACAAAGAACAATTGAATTAACGGAGAAACTATTTCTTTTTTTATTTTCCATTCTTTGTATAGATTTTAAGTATATGCACATAACCCAAGGATACAAGAGAAAGTAAAACCACACACACACACGCACGCTCTTGGTTTTTTATTAATTCTGTGTAGAATTTGTTTGTTTTACCTTATATATATCCTGTATTGTGAAGTACAGAATAGATGTACAATATCTTAACCTACATCTTATACAAATACATTTTCTCCCAATTCAATTGAAACCTACAATGCAGTATTGGAGTCGTTTTAACTTTCTAGTTTTCGCCTATACTAATTCATCTGTTATTCCATACCGGCTCAAGTCAATGATCTAGACTCGAGTAAAAGGTTCTGAATAGCGTTATAGTCTAATTTTAATAAGCTTTCTTATTTTTGGTCGCCTCCCTTTGTCTATTTGTTTGTTTCGTTTTCTTGTTCTTGTGTGATAATAGTGAAGATTTGGGTTTGATTTAGAAATGGTACTTTTGATTGTGGGGGTAAAACAATATACACAGAATCCCCCCAAAAAAAATACAAACAATCTTGAATGGAACAGAAAAAAAAAATATAATAACATAATAAAATAATATTGCTTTCAAGATGTTACTATTCTGTTCACCATTGTACTGGAGGTTCTTTCATTTGAAATCAATAAATGTACGAAAACATATCTTTTGAAAACGTTTGAATGTTGGTCGTTTG